TGAAGCTGGATTGGTGAGTGAGTGAGAGATTGAAGCTTGAATCAGCTTGAGTGCTGCTGCTGCTGCCGGGGATGGACGAGGAGAACGGCGCAGAGGGCAGCAGGGAGGGGCTTGAGAGCGTGAAGGTGGTTGATGTGGTGGATGACGATCAGACGCCACTGAAGCTGGATTGGTGAGTGAGTGAGAGATTGAAGCTTGAATCAGCTTGAGTGCTGCTGCTGCTGCCGGGGATGGACGAGGAGAACGGCGCAGAGGGCAGCAGGGAGGGGCTTGAGAGCGTGAAGGTGGTTGATGTGGTGGATGACGATCAGACGCCACTGAAGCTGGATTGGTGAGTGAGTGAGAGATTGAAGCTTGAATCAGCTTGAGTGCTGCTGCTGCTGCCGGGGATGGACGAGGAGAACGGCGCAGAGGGCAGCAGGGAGGGGCTTGAGAGCGTGAAGGTGGTTGATGTGGTGGATGACTATCAGACGCCCCTGAAGCTGGATTGGTGAGTGAGTGAGAGATTGAAGCTTGAATCAGCTTGAGTGCTGCTGCTGCTGCCGGGGATGGACGAGGAGAACGGCGCAGAAGGCAGCAGGGAGGGGCTTGAGAGCGTGAAGGTGGTTGATGTGGTGGATGACGATCAGACGCCCCTGAAGCTGGATTGGTGAGTGAGTGAGAGATTGAAGCTTGAATCAGCTTGAGTGCTGCTGCTGCTGCCGGGGATGGACGAGGAGAACGGCGCAGAGGGCAGCAGGGAGGGGCTTGAGAGCGTGAAGGTGGTTGACGTGGTGGATGATGATCAGACGCCACTGAAGCTGGATTGGTGAGTGAGTGAGAGATTGAAGCTTGAATCAGCTTGAGTGCTGCTGCTGCTGCCGGGGATGGACGAGGAGAACGGCGCAGAAGGCAGCAGGGAGGGGCTTGAGAGCGTGAAGGTGGTTGATGTGGTGGATGACGATCAGACGCCCCTGAAGCTGGATTGGTGAGTGAGTGAGAGATTGAAGCTTGAATCAGCTTGAGTGCTGCTGCTGCTGCCGGGGATGGACGAGGAGAACGGCGCAGAGGGCAGCAGGGAGGGGCTTGAGAGCGTGAAGGTGGTTGACGTGGTGGATGATGATCAGACGCCACTGAAGCTGGATTGGTGAGTGAGTGAGAGATTGAAGCTTGAATCAGCTTGAGTGCTGCTGCTGCTGCCGGGGATGGACGAGGAGAACGGCGCAGAGGGCAGCAGGGAGGGGCTTGAGAGCGTGAAGGTGGTTGATGTGGTGGATGACGATCAGACGCCACTGAAGCTGGATTGGTGAGTGAGTGAGAGATTGAAGCTTGAATCAGCTTGAGTGCTGCTGCTGCTGCCGGGGATGGACGAGGAGAACGGCGCATAGGGCAGCAGGGAGGGGCTTGAGAGCGTGAAGGTGGTTGATGTGGTGGATGACGATCAGACGCCACTGAAGCTGGATTAGTGAGTGAGTGAGAGATTGAAGCTTGAATCAGCTTGAGTGCTGCTGCTGCTGCCGGGGATGGACGAGGAGAACGGCGCAGAGGGCAGCAGGGAGGGGCTTGAGAGCGTGAAGGTGGTTGATGTGGTGGATGACGATCAGACGCCACTGAAGCTGGATTGGTGAGTGAGTGAGAGATTGAAGCTTGAATGAGCTTGAGTGCTGCTGCTGCTGCCGGGGATGGACGAGGAGAACGGCGCAGAGGGCAGCAGGGAGGGGCTTGAGAGCGTGAAGGTGGTTGATGTGGTGGATGACGATCAGACGCCACTGAAGCTGGATTGGTGAGTGAGTGAGAGATTGAAGCTTGAATCAGCTTGAGTGCTGCTGCTGCTGCCGGGGATGGACGAGGAGAACGGCGCAGAGGGCAGCAGGGAGGGGCTTGAGAGCGTGAAGGTGGTTGATGTGGTGGATGACGATCAGACGCCACTGAAGCTGGATTAGTGAGTGAGTGAGAGATTGAAGCTTGAATCAGCTTGAGTGCTGCTGCTGCTGCCGGGGATGGACGAGGAGAACGGCGCAGAGGGCAGCAGGGAGGGGCTTGAGAGCGTGAAGGTGGTTGATGTGGTGGATGACGATCAGACGCCACTGAAGCTGGATTGGTGAGTGAGTGAGAGATTGAAGCTTGAATGAGCTTGAGTGCTGCTGCTGCTGCCGGGGATGGACGAGGAGAACGGCGCAGAGGGCAGCAGGGAGGGGCTTGAGAGCGTGAAGGTGGTTGATGTGGTGGATGACGATCAGACGCCACTGAAGCTGGATTGGTGAGTGAGTGAGAGATTGAAGCTTGAATCAGCTTGAGTGCTGCTGCTGCTGCCGGGGATGGACGAGGAGAACGGCGCAGAGGGCAGCAGGGAGGGGCTTGAGAGCGTGAAGGTGGTTGATGTGGTGGATGACGATCAGACGCCACTGAAGCTGGATTGGTGAGTGAGTGAGAGATTGAAGCTTGAATCAGCTTGAGTGCTGCTGCTGCTGCCGGGGATGGACGAGGAGAACGGCGCAGAGGGCAGCAGGGAGGGGCTTGAGAGCGTGAAGGTGGTTGATGTGGTGGATGACGATCAGACGCCACTGAAGCTGGATTGGTGAGTGAGTGAGAGATTGAAGCTTGAATCAGCTTGAGTGCTGCTGCTGCTGCCGGGGATGGACGAGGAGAACGGCGCAGAGGGCAGCAGGGAGGGGCTTGAGAGCGTGAAGGTGGTTGACGTGGTGGATGATGATCAGACGCCACTGAAGCTGGATTGGTGAGTGAGTGAGAGATTGAAGCTTGAATCAGCTTGAGTGCTGCTGCTGCTGCCGGGGATGGACGAGGAGAACGGCGCAGAGGGCAGCAGGGAGGGGCTTGAGAGCGTGAAGGTGGTTGATGTGGTGGATGACGATCAGACGCCACTGAAGCTGGATTGGTGAGTGAGTGAGAGATTGAAGCTTGAATCAGCTTGAGTGCTGCTGCTGCTGCCGGGGATGGACGAGGAGAACGGCGCAGAGGGCAGCAGGGAGGGGCTTGAGAGCGTGAAGGTGGTTGATGTGGTGGATGACGATCAGACGCCACTGAAGCTGGATTGGTGAGCGAGTGAGAGATTGAAGCTTGAATCAGCTTGAGTGCTGCTGCTGCTGCCGGGGATGGACGAGGAGAACGGCGCAGAGGGCAGCAGGGAGGGGCTTGAGAGCGTGAAGGTGGTTGATGTGGTGGATGACGATCAGACGCCACTGAAGCTGGATTGGTGAGTGAGTGAGAGATTGAAGCTTGAATCAGCTTGAGTGCTGCTGCTGCTGCCGGGGATGGACGAGGAGAACGGCGCAGAGGGCAGCAGGGAGGGGCTTGAGAGCGTGAAGGTGGTTGATGTGGTGGATGACGATCAGACGCCACTGAAGCTGGATTGGTGAGTGAGTGAGAGATTGAAGCTTGAATCAGCTTGAGTGCTGCTGCTGCTGCCGGGGATGGACGAGGAGAACGGCGCAGAGGGCAGCAGGGAGGGGCTTGAGAGCGTGAAGGTGGTTGATGTGGTGGATGACGATCAGACGCCGCTGAAGCTGGACTGGTGAGTGAAAGTGGCGAGCTTTCATACATTGCAACACAATATGACGCAGACTGTAGCGCGGACAGACAGGCAAGGCTGTGAGTAGGCTAGCGGGGAGGGGCTTGAGAGCGTGATGGTGGTTGACGTGGTGGATGATGATCAGACGCCACTCAAACTGGATTGGTGAGCCTTGGGATCAGTTGCCAATGCTTTGGGGTGAGTGTGGGTGAGTGGATCAGCGGGGAGGGGCTGGAGAGCGTGAAAGTAGTTGATGTTGTGGATGATGATCAGACTCTACTCAAGCTGGATTGGTGAGACGTGTGATTTGACCCCAATGCATTGGTGTGAGAGCGTGTGTGTGGGTGGGTGAGTGGACCAGCGGGGAGGGGCTGGAGAGCGTGAAGGTGGTTGATGATCAGACACCGCTGAAGCTGGACTGGTGAGTGAAACGAGGCAGATTGTAGCGCGGACAAGCAGTCTATGCTATGGGTAGCTGTGGGGCTTGAGAGTATGAAGGTGGTTGATGTGGTGGATGACGATCAGACGCCTCTTAAGCTGGATTGGTGAGACGTGTGATGAGTCGCCAATGCTTTTTGGTTTGGTGCAAGTGTGCAAGTGTGTGTGTGAGTGGGTGAGTGAACCAGCGGGGAGGGGCTGGAGAGTGTCAAGATGGTCGACGTGGTGGTGGATGATGACCAGACGCCGCTGAAACTCGACTGGTGAGACTTGTGACCAATCGCTAATGCTTTGGTGTGAGTGTGTGTGTGTGTTTGTGTTGTGAGGGAGGGTGAGTGAACCAGCGGGGTGGGGCTGGAGAGCGTGAAGGTGGTGAATGTTACGGTTGACGATCAGACGCTGCTCAAGCTAGACTGGTGAGTGAATGTGGAGCGAGAAGTCATGCATTGTAGCTTGAAACCAATCAGCCAGCGGCTGTGCAGGTTACCAGCGCGCGGAAGGCCAGGGGTTACGTTTCGACTACTACGACGGGGATCACGCTCTGTAGCTTCACTTTGGTCGATAGTGCTGCTGTTGACCTTATCGCGAACCCAGCGATCCTCTCGTCGGCCCACGTGCACCGATCGCTCAACCACGTTTCGCCTCTGCTCCCACTCCCTCGTCCTTCCTCCACACTTCCCCATCCCTTCACCCATCCCCCCCACCAGAGGTCGGGCTGTGAGCAAGGAGCAGAGGGAAAAGGAGGAGAAGGACAAGTGTCAAGCAGTCAGACTTCAATTTGACTCAGGAGTCACTTTTACTTCAACCCTCTCCCTTCCGCTGCTCCCCCCTCTCTTCGACTGCCTCCCCCAGGGGTTGCGCTGTGAGCAAGGAGCAGCGGGAGAAGGAGGAGAAGGACAAGCAGGCACAGGGGCGATGCCCCTCAAAATATCAAATTGGCTCAGAATTTGATTCACTTTCGCTTCGACCCTTTCTCTCCCTTCTTCCGCCCCCTCTCCCCTGTCCTCCCTCCATGGTCCACGTGATGCCCCCTTCCCTTCACCGAACCCTCCAGGGGTCGGGCTGTGAGCAAGGAGCAGAGGGAGAAGGAGGAGAAGGACAAGCAGTCGCAGGGGCGATGCCCCTCAGACGCTCAGGCAGGAGGGGGCACAGGCGGTGCTGCTGACGTGGCAGCGGCTCATAGGCTGGCGGCACATGCGGACTGGAGGGGCGGATTCGCGAATGGGAGTGTGCCATGGGTGCCGGAGAAGGATAGATACATTCTCATGGACTGCCATAGGGGCAAGGTGTGTGTGGGTGGGGGGATGGGGGGATGAACGAGATGTGTGGGTGTGGCAAGGTGTGTGGCGAGGGAGGGAAGGAGTGCGGGTTATTTCTCGTGGGAGCTTGCAGGGGACACTAGAGACGGATAGATACATTCTCATGGACTGCCGTAGGGGGAAGGTGTGTGCTGGTGGGGAAGGAGAGACGGGGCGAGGTGTGTGGGTCTGGCGAGTGTGTGGCGAGGGAGGGGAGAGTGCGGGTTGAATCTCATGTGAGCTTGTAGGGGCTGGCCATTCCTCCCTCCCTCCCTCCCTCCCTCCCTCCCTCCCTCCCTCCCTCCCTCCCTCCCTCCCTCCCTCCCTCCCTCCCTCCCTCCCTCCCTCCCTCCCTCCCTCCCTCTCTTCCCTTATGCATTACTGACGATGCATTCCCACTTTGCCGTTCCCTGCAAACCTCCCCCCTTCAATCCTTCCTCTGCCCTCCATGCCAACACCAGTCCAGCACTCGCATCCGCCGCTTCCGCAACTACACGCTTCTGGCTGGTCTGGCAAACCGCACGCTGCTGGTGCCCATGAAGGCAGTCTCCCATTCTCCCCTTCGCCCCTCCCTCCCCTCCTCGTCCCCCCTCCCCATCACCAGTCCAGCACGCGCATCCGCTGCTTCCGCAACTACATGCTTCTGGCAGGCCTGTCAAATCGCACGCTGCTGGTGCCGATGAACACCACGGAGGTGGCATCTGGGTACGACCGCCGCATCGTGTTCGACTTTGACCACGTGTGGAGGTGGGTGGTATGGTTGGTTGGGTGTCTGCGTGTAATGGCACATCAATTTGTTCTCCAAGGAGACCTTGTCTCCGATGAACACAACACAGGTGGCGTCTGGCCGCATTGTATTTGACTTTGACCACGCCTGGCGGTGCGTGGGACATGGGGTCATGGGGCATGGGGTCATGGGGCATGGGGTCATGGGGCATGGGGTCATGGGGCATGGGGTCATGGGGGCATGGGGTCATGGGGGCATGGGGTCATGGGGGCATGGGGTAATGGGGGCATGGGGTCATGGGGTCATGGGGTCATGGGGGCATGGGGGCATGGGGGCATGGGGTCATGGGGCATGGGGTCATGGGGGCATGGGGTCATGGGGGCATGGGGTCATGGGGGCATGGGGTAATGGGGGCATGGGGTCATGGGGTCATGGGGTCATGGGGGCATGGGGGCATGGGGGCATGGGGTCATGGGGCATGGGGTCATGGGGGCATGGGGTCATGGAGGCATGGGGTCATGGGGGCATGGGGTCATGGGGTCATGGGGTCATGGGGTCATGGGGGCATGGGGTCATGGGGTCATGGGGGCATGGGGCATGGGGTCATGGGGCATGGGGTCATGGGGCATGGGGTCATGGGGCATGGGGTCATGGGGGCATGGGGTCATGGGGCATGGGGTCATGGGGGCATGGGGTCATGGGGGCATGGGGTCATGGGGGCATGGGGTAATGGGGGCATGGGGTCATGGGGTCATGGGGTCATGGGGGCATGGGGGCATGGGGGCATGGGGTCATGGGGCATGGGGTCATGGGGGCATGGGGTCATGGAGGCATGGGGTCATGGGGGCATGGGGTCATGGGGTCATGGGGTCATGGGGTCATGGGGGCATGGGGTCATGGGGTCATGGGGGCATGGGGCATGGGGTCATGGGGCATGGGGTCATGGGGCATGGGGTCATGGGGCATGGGGTCATGGGGGCATGGGGTCATGGGGCATGGGGTCATGGGGCATGGGGTCATGGGGCATGGGGTCATGGGGGCATGGGGTCATGGGGGCATGGGGTCATGGGGGCATGGGGTAATGGGGGCATGGGGTCATGGGGTCATGGGGTCATGGGGGCATGGGGGCATGGGGTCATGGGGCATGGGGTCATGGGGGCATGGGGTCATGGAGGCATGGGGTCATGGGGGCATGGGGTCATGGGGTCATGGGGTCATGGGGTCATGGGGGCATGGGGTCATGGGGTCATGGGGGCATGGGGCATGGGGTCATGGGGCATGGGGTCATGGGGCATGGGGTCATGGGGCATGGGGTCATGGGGACATGGGGTCATGGGGCATGGGGTCATGGGGCATGGGGTCATGGGGCATGGGGTCATGGGGGCATGGGGTCATGGGGGCATGGGGTCATGGGGGCATGGGGTAATGGGGGCATGGGGTCATGGGTTCATGGGGTCATGGGGGCATGGGGGCATGGGGGCATGGGGTCATGGGGCATGGGGTCATGGGGTCATGGGGGCATGGGGTCATGGAGGCATGGGGTCATGGGGGCATGGGGTCATGGGGTCATGGGGGCATGGGGGCATGGGGGCATGGGGTCATGGGGCATGGGGTCATGGGGGCATGGGGTCATGGAGGCATGGGGTCATGGGGGCATGGGGTCATGGGACATGGGGTCATGGGGGCATGGGGTCATGGGGGCATGGGGTCATGGGGGCATGGGGTCATGGGGGCATGGGGTAATGGGGTCATGGGGTCATGGGGTCATGGGGGCATGGGGTCATGGGGTCATGGGGGCATGGGGCATGGGGTCATGGGGCATGGGGTCATGGGGCATGGGGTCATGGGGGCATGGGGTCATGGGGCATGGGGTCATGGGGCATGGGGTCATGGGGCATGGGGTCATGGGGGCATGGGGTCATGGGGGCATGGGGTCATGGGGGCATGGGGTAATGGGGGCATGGGTCATGGGTTCATGGGGTCATGGGGGCATGGGGGCATGGGGGCATGGGGTCATGGGGCATGGGGTCATGGGGTCATGGGGGCATGGGGTCATGGAGGCATGGGGTCATGGGGGCATGGGGTCATGGGGTCATGGGGGCATGGGGGCATGGGGGCATGGGGTCATGGGGCATGGGGTCATGGGGGCATGGGGTCATGGAGGCATGGGGTCATGGGGGCATGGGGTCATGGGGCATGGGGTCATGGGTTCATGGGGTCATGGGGGTATGGGGGCATGGGGTCATGGGGCATGGGGTCATGGGGGCATGGGGTCATGGGGGCATGGGGTCATGGGGGCATGGGGTCATGGGGGCATGGGGTAATGGGGTCATGGGGTCATGGGGTCATGGGGGCATGGGGTCATGGGGTCATGGGGGCATGGGGCATGGGGTCATGGGGCATGGGGTCATGGGGCATGGGGTCATGGGGGCATGGGGTCATGGGGCATGGGGTCATGGGGCATGGGGTCATGGGGCATGGGGTCATGGGGGCATGGGGTCATGGGGGCATGGGGTCATGGGGGCATGGGGTAATGGGGGCATGGGTCATGGGTTCATGGGGTCATGGGGGCATGGGGGCATGGGGGCATGGGGTCATGGGGCATGGGGTCATGGGGTCATGGGGGCATGGGGTCATGGAGGCATGGGGTCATGGGGTCATGGGGGCATGGGGTCATGGGGTCATGGGGGCATGGGGGCATGGGGGCATGGGGTCATGGGGCATGGGGTCATGGGGGCATGGGGGCATGGGGTCATGGGGCATGGGGTCATGGGGTCATGGGGGCATGGGGTCATGGAGGCATGGGGTCATGGGGGCATGGGGTCATGGGGTCATGGGGGCATGGGGGCATGGGGGCATGGGGTCATGGGGCATGGGGTCATGGGGGCATGGGGTCATGGAGGCATGGGGTCATGGGGGCATGGGGGCATGGGGTCATGGAGGCATGGGGTCATGGGGGCATGTGGTCATGGGGCATGGGGTCATGGGGTCATGGGGGCATGGGGTCATGGAGGCATGGGGTCATGGGGGCATGGGGTCATGGGGTCATGGGGGCATGGGGGCATGGGGGCATGGGGTCATGGGGCATGGGGTCATGGGGGCATGGGGTCATGGAGGCATGGGGTCATGGGGGCATGGGGTCATGGGGCATGGGGTCATGGGTTCATGGGGTCATGGGGGTATGGGGGCATGGGGTCATGGGGCATGGGGTCATGGGGGCATGGGGTCATGGGGGCATGGGGTCATGGGGGCATGGGGTCATGGGGGCATGGGGTAATGGGGTCATGGGGTCATGGGGTCATGGGGGCATGGGGTCATGGGGTCATGGGGGCATGGGGCATGGGGTCATGGGGCATGGGGTCATGGGGCATGGGGTCATGGGGGCATGGGGTCATGGGGCATGGGGTCATGGGGCATGGGGTCATGGGGCATGGGGTCATGGGGGCATGGGGTCATGGGGGCATGGGGTCATGGGGGCATGGGGTAATGGGGGCATGGGTCATGGGTTCATGGGGTCATGGGGGCATGGGGGCATGGGGGCATGGGGTCATGGGGCATGGGGTCATGGGGTCATGGGGGCATGGGGTCATGGAGGCATGGGGTCATGGGGTCATGGGGGCATGGGGTCATGGGGTCATGGGGGCATGGGGGCATGGGGGCATGGGGTCATGGGGCATGGGGTCATGGGGGCATGGGGGCATGGGGTCATGGGGCATGGGGTCATGGGGTCATGGGGGCATGGGGTCATGGAGGCATGGGGTCATGGGGGCATGGGGTCATGGGGTCATGGGGGCATGGGGGCATGGGGGCATGGGGTCATGGGGCATGGGGGCATGGGGGCATGGGGTCATGGAGGCATGGGGTCATGGGGGCATGGGGTCATGGGGCATGGGGTCATGGGTTCATGGGGTCATGGGGGTATGGGGGCATGGGGTCATGGGGCATGGGGTCATGGGGGCATGGGGTCATGGGGGCATGGGGTCATGGGGCATGGGGCATGGGGCATGGGGTCATGGGGCATGGGGCATGGGGTCATGGGGCATGGGTCATGGTTCATGGGCCGGGGGTCATGGGTCATGGATTATTGGTCATGAGTCATGGGGTGATGGGTTTAGGTCTGTGTAAGTAAGCACACAGACACACGCAGACTTACTGCATCCCAAAATCCTCCTTTTCAAGCAGAAAAAACTCCTACCTCTCCCCTGAACCCTGTCCCTCCTATTCGCCCCACCCAGGTGCTATGGCCCCCTCTCTGTGCTCTCTACACAAGATTTTCTCGACTTGAACAAGGGGGGAGCAGAGGAAGGGGGAGGAGGAGTGAAGGACGGGAAAGTAGTGATCGATCAAGTGCTGTGCCTACGAGCTACCTGTTACAACCAGAAAGGCCATGGGGACCCGGGCACTTTAGTTAATCTGCCCGAGGCTGCCCTAGCTGAAAATATTACCTGGAGCACTGTGCCTTCCACGTTGATCAAGGAGCAGAAGTTTCACCTGCCCGAAGTTGTCGAGGTTGCGCGCGAAATCCTTCCGTCTGCCCGAGTTGTGGTTCTCGGGGAGCTCGAACTTTTCTCGTTTGACCGGTCGCTCGAGGCCAAGGGCGACGTTCCTTTTATTCGCCGCCCGGGCTGCCCGAACTCCCTCGCCATCCAACCGCATCCCGCCGTCCTACTCTCCGCCGAGCGGCTTATCCAAGCCAAAATGTGGACTCTTATTGCACTAAACGCCACTTTTAGCCACACGCCAGCTAACTTCACAATCAATAACACGGGAGCGGACGGGGGGAGTCGGGGAATGGGGTGGCAGAAGGACAGCGAAGTGACTGAGATTCAGGATAAGAGATTTGTGGCGGTGCATTGGAGGAGGGGGGAGATGGGGATGGGGTGCAAGGAACCGGGGGTGGTGTGTCACGTGCGGGCGGCACAGGCAGCTGGGTGTATTGCGAGGGCGATGGAGAAAGCAGGGGGGATCAAGACAGTGTTTCTCGTGTCTGATGCCAGTCCCAAAGTGGTAAGGGGGTATCTGGTCCCAATGAGGTACGTGCGTGTGTGGTCCCAAGGGTGTGAGTGTGTGGTTCCAAGGAGGTATGAGGTACTGTTGGCTTGTAAGGGGTATGTGGTTGTAACAAGGTATGTGTTTCTGGTGTGTGATGGCAGTCCCAAGGAGGTACATGTGTGGCTAGGAGGTATGGGATACCGTTGGCTTGTAAGAGGTATGTGGTTCCCAAGGGAATTTGTTTCCATGAGTTAACTGAGCGTTGCCTCATCAACTCATATGCTCTCTTCCACATTCAGGATCTTCGCCTCATCATGCTGCCTCCTCCTCGTGATCCTTCCCGCCTTCTTTTCCCTGCTTTCCGTCCCCCTCTCCTTCCACCCCTACTTCCCTCTCTCCTTCTCCTTTTGGTTCCCCTTTCTTCCCAACCAGTTAACTGAGATTCGCAATCAATTATTCCAACACACTCAGGACCCTTGCCTCATCATGCTGCCTCCTTGTCCCGTTCTCGTTTCCCATTCGCTTCCCCATTTGGTGACCCCTTTTTCCTACCCCCAACCAGCTAACTGAGATTCGCAACGCTCTCTTCCAACACATTCAAGACCTTCGCCTCGTCATGCTGCCCCCAAACCTTCGCGGGCAGAAGTGGGCTGCCAGGCTTAAAAGTTACGACTTTCAGCACCAGGGGCTGATAGTTTCCACAGTAGACAAATGTGTTGCTGCCCTGGCTGATATATTTCTCGGGACCGCTGGATCGAGCTTCACTCTTGACATCCAACGGCTGAGATCGGGCCTCAGGACGGCAATCTGTGAAGATTCGTTTATCTGTGAGGGTGCTGGTGGGCATTCTTCGTCTCATACCGCACTGAGGTGATCCTAGTGGGTGATTCTACAAGAAATCAAGTTTGGCGCTACACTCAACTTGAGTGGTGTATGGTAAAATGATTCTACTCACGTGGCATCTGATAGTGTAGTTCACTCTGGTGTTGCAGAATGATTTCTGGCACTATTACCATACCTATAATCAGGTGCAGTAAAAAAATATCAACATGATTCAAATTCTTGACGAAAATTTCTGCGACCTCCACTTGCACTAAAGCCAACAAATATGTTTAATCAAACAGGGGGGTGAGAAACTGATTATCAAACCACACTACACTACTCTACACTCAAGCTTGCTTCATGCATCATTAACAACTCTCTAAAAGCTCTCATCCAGTAACTACACTGTAATGCTCTAAGCAGCACAGCACAAGGGCGGGTTTCCACAACCTCAGTACAGTGCCTCGGTTCACATCCAAAGCCATGGTACTATAGAGTCTACATTGTAGACTCTACGTTTACTCTTCCCCTCCGCTTCCCCCAACCCCCCACCCCTTACCGCCCACTCCTCATCCCCCTCCCCTTCCCCTCACCTCCCCCCCTCCTTTCCCCCAGGAGTTTTTTTCACAGCATTTTCCAAATCAACAGTTCCAGCTACTCTCCTACCTTCCTCTTGCTCCTCTTGCCTTACCCCCTTCCCCTGCTTCTCCTTCCCGTCCTCCCTATCCTCCAACTTCTTCCCTTCGTTCCCTTCCTCATCCTCCTCCTCCACACCTGCCCCAATTCCTTTCACCACCACCACCACCTCCTCCTCTCCCTCTTCCACTATTGCTTTAACCACCAACAGTCCCTCTCCCTCCTCTCCCTCCTCCCCCACTGCTTTCACCACTAGTAATTCCTCCTCCTCCTCTCCCTCCACCTTTCCCTTCTTTCCCTCCTCCCCATCCGTTTTCTCCACTCCCCCCTCCTTGCTCCCCTCCTCTTCTTCCTCCCCTCGGTTCTTTGGAAGCTTCAGTCCAAATCTCTTTTCAAAATCCACATCCTTGCATCCAAACATGTACCCAAGCCCGTACTTCTCCGCCTTACCCGCTTCCAGCAGCAGCTTATAACGAGGACGGAGCCTCTTCTCCACGCTCCGCGTCAGCAGCGCCGGCCACATCGCCACGTCAGCAAGCCCCCGCCCCATATCCTCCACCACGAATCGAATCTTCGATTCTAGGGTTTCCCACGTAAACGCTATCACCAGCGGCATCTGGTTCATCATCCGAACCGCGGTTTCCCGCCCAAACAAATTTATCAGATTCGTTAGAGTCACAACCATGCTGTCCCAGTTTTGCCCCAGCAGCAGCGGCTGGCGCATCAAGAATCGGCGCGCTTGCTCTTCACCAAAATACTCCACCATCCCTTTATAAGTCGCTTCCGTCGTGTCGTGCTTCACTAAAAGCAGCTGCGGGTACCGCCGCAAGTAGTACAGCATATCCCCGTTTTTATCCCCCAGAATCGACTGGATCAGCAAAACCTTCCGCTGAATCTCCGACGCTCTACCCCCCAAAACAAACGGGGAAGTTTCGAGAATATCCGCTACTGGGGACAACCCTGCAAGCTCCAGCTGCCGAACTTTCTCCTGTAGGGTCGGTACGGTCAGGTTCAAAACAAAAGGGAAACTCTGAACGACCTTGTCTATTCTCTTAACGCCTAAGTCGTACCGCAGATAGTGCAAAGCCGCTGCGAGAGTCTCTTCCGAGACGGAAAACACGCAAGCGCGAGTCGCGGCGCGTAGAAGACTAATAGGCGAGATGCCGTACTCCTTAAATAAGGCCGTCTTCTGGCTAGTAAGGGAGTTGAAGTCCGTTTGGAAGAGCGACGGGTTCCGGTGGAAAATCGTCAGAAGCTGTTTATCGGACAGCGCGCCGTTAGACAAGTGGCTGAGAATTAAGAGGTTCTGACTCGCTATAGAGCCAATGCTGGCGTGGCGTCTGGGGTATTTGAGAGATAACTCGTGCATGACGCGTCTAAACCTGGCGGCTTCAGCTGGAGGGATCGAGTCAAGCTCTGCTATTACCGCGTCGTAATGTGTCGCGTACGGCCCATCAGTCCCCCCTTCGTCTCCGCCATTCAGCCTCTGCTCCCCCTCTTCCCCCTGTTCCCCTTCCCCCCTATGCCTTCCCTGTTCCCCCACGTCCTCATGCCGCTTCCGCCCGCTACTGCTGTTGCTGCTGCCAATGCTGTCACTGCTGTTCCTGCTGCCGTCGTTGATGGGCGTTGCATCCACGTCAGCAACTCGCGTGGCAAAAAGCGAATGCTTGCGCGGATGCTTCGTCGCTCCGCCTCTGCTGCGCACCGCGAGACTCTGAGAGCGCGCGGAACTCACCGCTTTCCGCGGAACCGGCAAATGCGGGGGCGCACGAGCTGAATGGCACGCGCCATCGCCCCCGTACGCGCAAATCGCGCCAGTCGGAGGCGCTGGTGCGGAGATCCGGGGACTGGCGCGGAGGAGCATCTCCGCGCGCGACTTTTTTAACCGACTCTAAAGTCGCGACAGCGGATGGACCGTTCACGAAGTTCTTCCCAAATCCGCTGCTGCAAACGAATAGTCCCTTGCTGATTCGATGTTTTTCGACGCACCAGTTATGCGAGCGGAAAGGGCGCTACGTATGACTCTAGGATGCGAGCAAGGGTGCTACTGGGGGTTTTTAGAAGTTGGGTCGGGACTTGGGAGCGGGCTCGGGAATTATGAACGAGGTTTTAGAAAAGGGGCTCAAATTTGAAGCAGGGTGAGTGAAATTGGCGGCGACAAGGGTTCCGTTATGCGAAATCGGTCGTTAAGTTACTGAACATTGAAAGAACGAGTGAAACACACGGCCTATATGCAAAAATAGGAACTTTGTAAAACAAATATACTTACATACGGAAATTCAACATAGACATCAGCCTACTCTTACAGCTGCCTTCATCCCCTTTTCACAGTCCTGCCCTGTTAGAGATGCAAAGTAAAGGCTGTACTTTTTTTTGCTTTGTGTAGGGACCACAAACTTGTACACCCCGTAAAATCTTGGGCTTAGAAGTTGCAGAGCTTGAGAGCTTTACTTTCGAGCCATTGTAGGTCATGCTGGCCAAGCCAACGAAACACTGCGATTGAGAGGCAAGGGGAACAATAAATACACATTACATTTTCGTATGAAAAGAACGATGCCTTCATGCTTCTCTCCTATACTGGGGAGTCCACAACAGTGCCTCATCAGGCAGCACATGCCAACATACCAAGAATGTCTCCGGGTTTGACGGGACGCCCTTGCCACTTTTGAGCGCCATACGTCCAGCCAAAGAACTTCTTCAGACCTAGACGAACCATGCGAGCCTGGAAGGCACAAGAGAGCCAAAAATGGTGGGAGGTAGGGATGGGAGAGAAAAAGAGCGAGAGAGAGGAGAGAGGAGGTGGGAGCAGGGATTGGCGGGGTGGGGGGGGTTGGGGGGGGGGGTGAGAAAGCTTTTTTCTTTGGATGCATATGTACAGACAGGCATATGAGTGTGGTCGACAATAAACCATTTGCAAAACGAGTGGTACCTGACAAAAAGGAGCGCCTGTTAAGGAAGTTCCACCAACAGTGTCGTCAGGTGGTCGAATGAGGTAGCAGCGCATATGGGAGAAGGGAGCAGAAAGGACAGCGGAAGGAGAAAGCCAAACGTGTTCACCACGGGAGATGGAGTGGGAAGAGTGGGGAAGCGGAGTTAGTGAGGACGATAAGCAGAGCAGGGGAAATGGACACAAAAAAAAGGATAATATTAACAGTAGCGAATCATTGGGTGCTCCCTCGTAGCTATAATCGGTTTTCCTCGGTTTGGAGACCTGCGTGGTCTGTGGTCTTGGTGCATATTGACATCTTACAAAACACGCTTGATAGAGTTAAGTAATGCTCCTGCACTTGGTGAATTCTGTGACCCGCGTGACGCGACGAGGGTTTCAGACGAGGATAGGCTGCGAAGATCGTGCAGATTGACGAAAAGCCCACCAGCAACGAAGGCGTAGGGTAACCACGGGTTTTCTGAACTAATGACACTCCTAGCTACTACGCCTCATTTAAAGGTCCCGACTCGCAGTTTCGTTACTGTCACGGCGACGATGAAATGCCTCCTAGTAAAGAGCGGCTGCTCGAGAGTGGCTATCAATTCGGAGCTATTGGAGAGCGGGAGAGCACGCACTTGTCAGCGTAAGAAGCGAGAGTAGCAGGAGCGCGCACATCGTCGCATTTACAGTGGGAACCAGCCGAAGCGCCATCGCCCCTGTGCGACAAGAACGTAATTGGCAGTTTAGCTGGCCGTGCGGCGAAATTGGACGTTAGCGCAACCGGCGTGGATAGATATTGCGGGGTGCCTTTCGCCAAGGCTGAGGGAGGGAGATATCAGATGCAAGTGTTCTTCGTACCGGCTCGTTCAGCAATCCACGTTGCTTAGTGCCTCTCAAAATCTGAAGCCTTTTACTACACTCGGAGTACAGTCAATAACGTATGTGACAACCGAGTTCAGGCAGATAAGGGAGAGGGAGCGAGAGACGGAGGAAGGAAGGGGCCGTAGAGGGCAAGGCAGACGAATGAGCAGATGGCAAATGGATGCGTGGGTTGTGCTCTGTATGGCAGACGGGAGCGCGTGGGGTGATGCGAGCGGAAAGGAAACAAGAGGTGGGATGATGGAATGGAGAGGGGGGTTGAGTGTAGGTAGGGAAAAAGGAGGAGCGAAGTGTTGATGGAAGTGCAGCTATTGTTTTATTGCAGACAAGCAAGAACGCTGATGAGGGAGATTTGCAGGCCACGAGTTTGCACAACGGCTGAATATTTAGCGAACTGTTACTACGACTCGAGAAAGTTCGCAGGCGGAAATGTCGCAAAGGGCAGTACATAGCATTTCTCGAATTTGAGAGTTGGCGATTCGGTTTGGCCGCGAAGAACTGAAAAAACGATTCCCGCAATTCCTCGGATGATAGCCTGTACGAAGTGAAGATGTGAAAAGCTCTTACCTTATCCAAATAGAGAATACTACAATGTTATTTTAATGATGACATGAAACCCCAAACCTTGTCCCACTGAGTGTCGCCCCAATAAACTGCAAATGTGTGATGCCGACTTCTGCTAATTTTAAGCTTCATGCATACAAGAAATCAGCTATAATCTTGATCTATGAAGGCTAAGGTAACACTAATCATCGTACGTATCTTGTAATGAGTGTTCAGACTCTGATATATCAGCCTGGCTAGAGCTTTCCACAGCACCAACTCCTGTCGTAGGCACGCCCCCAGATGTAGCTCCATCCTGGCTCTCGATGCCCATTGGTTGACCCGGAATCATCATGCCAGCATCATCATACTGAGTGTATGAATGTGGCAACACGTAACCAAACTCCTCCGGTGATGTATACACCATTCCCATCTGCTCTGCGCCAGTCCTGCCCACCATGGGATGCATAGGACTACCGGTCGGATACACGGCGGTTCCCATAGGGCGCATGGGACTAGCCATGGGGTGCATCGGACTACCCATAGGGTGCATGGGGCTACCCATGGGGTGCATAGGACTGCCCATGGGGCTCATGGGACTAGCCATGGGATGCATGGGACTAGCCATGGGGTGCATGGGACTGCCCATGCTCATGCCATGCATTGGGCTGCCTGTGATAGGTTGGGTGGTGTATGATGGACCCGCTACAGACTGGGCGGGGCTGCTCATATAAGGTACAGGACTGTGCATTGTTGACCCAGACTGTCCGCCGTAAACCGAACCAGAAGTGTCCGAGCCTGTGGCGATTGCTTCGGATTCAGAAACAGAGGCGGACTGGGGAAAGCTGAAGCTCCCTGTTGGTTGGTGTGCGCCTGAAGCCATACCTCCGTCTCCTCCTGCTGCCTCTGTTGCTTCTCCTTCTGCTTCGTCTCCTCCTCCTCCTCCTGCTCCTGCCCCTGCTGTTGCTGTTGCTGCATGATACACATGGGCTGGCATGTACCCAACGTTGACTTGAGCGATATTCTGAGCTGCCCCTTGGGCGGCAGCCTGGGCGGCAGCACGGGCGGCATAAGCGGCAGTGGCAGCACCTGGAGCGATATCCTGATCTGCCCCTCGGGCAGCAGCCTGGGCGGCAGCACGGGCGGCATAGGCAGCAGCATAAGCGGCAGTGGCAGCACCTGGAGTAAACTCGGTATAGAGTGACGAGGATGTATTGCCGTCTGCCTCGGAACCCGTTACAGAGGATGAGGTAACTGATGCGGAGTGCGGAAACATGGGAACAGTGCCGGCTGTAGAAGGACCAGTATAAGCTGTTTGTGCTGTAGATGGTGCTGAACCCGATTGTGTTTCCGCGCCTGTGCTTGTACTTGTCGAGTCTCCATCCGCTACAGTGGAAACCCTGCTCAATTCCCCTTCAGAAGGCGTCACTGTTGTTTCACCCGTTTGAAGGCTGTACGCGGAGGGAGTGTACGCCGACGTAGTGTATGTCGAGAATGGGGTGTAGCCGGAAGCATACGGAGATGGAGTGTACGCTGATGACTGAGGCCCGGGAGTATAAGCCGATGGAGTGTAGCCGGATTGGGTAGCGTAGCCAGATGGTGTATAAGCAGAGTGAGGAGTGTACCCAGAGGAGGTGTACCCTGAATAGCCAGCACCAGATTGCGTGTACGCGGTATAAGAGGTGGTCGTCGAGGTTGGAGTTGGATCCGAATTGTAGTTGGACGACAATGGCGAAGCTCGCGAATCCGTGTGCGACTGCGAAGTGGTTTCGGAGTACTGCGACTGCGACTCGGTGTCCTCGCCACTTGACTCGGTGAGGCTCGACCCCGTGCCATGGCGACCGATGCTCGCGATGTGGTCCGGAACGCCTGCCGAAGCAAGGACCGCCGCAGGGTCGGACGGCTGTGCAAGAGGCAAAAGCGGCGGCAAGGAGGAAAAGGGAGGGGGTTGATTGAGGTGCTACAAGGACGATTTTAACTGAAGGGACCCTCGCCAGGTGAGTCCCATATAGCAATTTCAAATGGGTTGAAGGCGCGGAGTGGGGAAGGCATTAGGAAGGAAACAGAGGAGACAGCAGCCGGTGAAGGATTTCCATTCTACAAGGTGTTAATCTCATAGTTCCCATATGTATTCTGGTGCAATCTGTGCTTTTACCCTGAACACATATGCGGCAGTTGATGTGTAATGAGTGAATCGACTCACGAAATAGCTCGGAGGGCCGTATGACAATCCGATAGAGTACGCCGCTGTTCCCCGCGTGTCCCCTCCTCCCACGCCACCTCCGCCACCGCCGCCGTCGGCGCCGCCGCTCCCGGGCGGCTGTTCAATGTAGAGCTCATCCTTGTGGACCCCCAGCATCTGCTTCTGCTTCTTCTCCCGTTCCTCCCTGAACCTTCTCGCGCCTGCTATTAACGCGTACTCGCCCATGTCCATGACTTGTCTGCGTTTGTAGCCGCCCGGATAGTAGCATAGCTTAAACCACAAGAAAAGAAGGAGCGTAAAGAAAATGCTCGCCGTGGTTATGGCAATCCCGAGGGGTAGCTCTCCGGGCTTTATAAGCGGCTCGAGGATATCGGGAACCACATCTTGCGCCGACGACATGCTTTCTGTGGGCCCTTATCTCAGTGTTGCATGCGATTCAGGCCGTCACTAAGGAGAGCAATCGTTTTTTTTTTACATCAGAGGGACTTATCCTGTCAGAGAATGAATTATAAGGCAACTACTCTTACTAAGGCTATTCGCATGCATGCTCTGTAGGTAAACGCTCCTCATAATTAAGACCGTCCACGCATTATAAATTGCACGGCTTCGAAGGTTAAAGCGCACTCAACTTCACGTTTGGAGAAAACGTGAGGAAAAACAGTGAGTTATGCTGATCTGTTCATAAGTAGTCGAGACGAGAATCAAGCAAAGCGAGCAAGCAAGGAAAATTTCACCAAAAGCTGTGGCTGGTGGGGGAGAGAGGTGACAGCAGTACGGCGTGGAGTAAAAAGGATCTCGCGCCTGTAGGTGTGGAGCTTGAGTGGAGTGAGATTTCTGCCCGAGTCGAAACCCGATATGGTAACAACAGTCGTATCGAACCTCAATTTTCCCGTGGCGATGTTCGCGAAAACTACAGCCAGCAGCACTGCTTTTCCCAAGCTGCAACTGGTGTTCCACGGATCCTCACGCCTCCTGTTGTTCTGCACCGCATGTGCGACACGGGAGTGTTGGGGAGTATGGCGAGTCTCTCATTGGTCCGCACCAGCGGTTGCGAATTGCTGGACGACATTACAACTTCAGTTCGCGTACGTGCAACCATCCTCGAAATACAATTTGTACATTAGATGTTACGCGGCAAAATGCTATAATAGGAAAAGGTCAACCACCTTCTAACATAGCAGCGTGACAATTAACCAAGAAAAAACAAGCTTTGAGCCACTCCCAACATTCATAACCCTCTTAAATCTCTCTAAACTGAGCCATGGTAGGCAGGTGCCTCCCACATGCCTTGTTATGGCATCGTTGCCTCCTCGACGAGCTCCTCTCGCCACACACACACTCCTTCACCCACGTCCCCCCCGCAATCTGATACGCCTTAAACCCTTCCTTCTTCAATACCTCGCCAATAGGCTCCGCATTTTCTTCCTCCCCCACACTCCCCGACTTTCCCGCCGCAATAGGCGTTGCGTCAGACCCACCAGAACCGAAACTCCCAGTGGAATGAACAGTGTCATCAGAATCAATGCCGTCCGCAGTACTGCCAGCTGCAGCACCAGCAGCACTGGTACCAGGAAGAGCAGCAGCAGCAGCAGCAGCAGCACTACTGCTAGCAAGACCTGACTCCAATTCCTTCTCCCCCTCATCATTAACACTCCTGACCCCTTCCTTCTCCTCATTCTTCAAACTACCCACCACTGCTACAGCCTCTGCAGCTGTCAAATCAGCACTCACCCTACCTTCAGCCTCGTTACTGTCAACCCCCTTAGAATGACTCTCCTTACCATCTACCCCAAGACTTGCTTTCTTCAACCCCTCTCCCTCACTCCTCTCCCATCTCCCTCTTACCACCCTTCCCTCCTCCCCATCCCCACTCCCACTTCCTCCCACACCCTTTCCCCCAACCCCACTCCTCCCACTCCACAACTCAGGCGTTTTCTTAACCCAAGCTGCCACCTCAGCACCCTTCGCCACCACCAGCCTCGGCCGATCCTCATCGCTCTGGAACGGCGACCCGAGCCTAGCCAGCTCCGGAACCACCGCGCCTCTCAAATGCCTCTTTCTAGACCTCCCCACCCCAACCTCAATCTCCATTTCACGCGGTAACCGCTTTCCCGCCTCCACCGCCCCTGCGACCAGCTCCAGCCAATAGCGCAGCGCCACCTGTGCGCCGTGATAGGACAACCCCGAGAGATGCAGCGTCCAGTGCGGCCAGTCACGCGAGAACAGCCGTGCGATCTGACGCGTGCTGACCATGGCTTTAAGGACGGCGACGGAGAGCTCGCGGCGGTTGAAAAGGAAGAGCAGAGAGAGGAGATTGTTGCAGAGGGGCTTCTGGTCCCTGCGATGCACGCCTGCTACGGTGCGGTCTAGCAGGGTGGTGAAGAGAGTAGTGGGGTCTGTGGTTTGCTCTGTTGCTGGTGATTTTGCTGCTGATTGTGTGTCGTCTGCTGCTCCCCCTGCTGCTGCTGCCACCGACCCTGCTGCCGCTCCTGCCACTGCCTTCCCTTCTTCCACGGCTCCGCTTCCCCCTTCCTCAACGTCAACCTCCGTTTCCAGTGCCTCCCCCAACCCCACCACCACCAACTCATGAATGTGCGGGTCAACCTCTTTCAAGCAGCCCAGAAGAAGCTTCCTCGCAGCTACCATCCCCTGCCTTGCCCGCACAGGAGCATCGATCATCACACTCTCAGTGCTCGTTTCTTTGTCGAAATCTATTTCGGGCACCTCCAGAATATTTTTAGGGGAGGTGAAACCCAGCAGGTCAAGGAAGACAATGGCCACATAGGTGTCGGGTTCAATTCCTGCCGCGAGCATTTTCTTGAAGTAGAGTGCTGAGAGGTCGAAGCGGCCCCCCTTGCCAAACCCGTGGATGATTGCCGTGTATACAGCCACTCCTGTCCTTGCTTCTGATACTTCTGCTGCCGCTGCTTCTGCTTCTGCTTCTGCTGCTGGTGGTGCTGCTGCTGTGGCTGATGTGGGGGTGGTTGACGATACCTCTGAAGGAGATTCAGAAGCTGAAGGAACGGCAGGGGCCTTGGTAGTAGGCACCGCACTTAACCCACTCAGATCCACACCCAAACCAAGATACTCCTCCGAACCTGGTCCCCTGCTTCGGACGCCGCTGCTGCTACGGCCGCCAAGGTAAATCCCGGCTGCTCTTGCATCTGCTAGTAACGCCTCCACCTCTGCTACAGCCGGATCCATGCCAGCCAGTCCTGCAACAGCCATCCCTGCTACAGCCGTCCCCGCTACAGGCGTCCCTGCTACAGCCGACCCAGCATTCCCGGCCTCTCCCCCCTCCCCTCCCCGCCTGCCCTTCTCAGCAAACAGACCTGCCAGCTGCCTCACGCTGTTCTCAGTAAGCACCACCCCATCCCTCTTCATACCTCCATACGCCCTCCTTGCTTCCTCCACCAATCCGCACTCCCGACACGCCTGCAGAATAACGCTGTAAAACGTCGCGTCGGGCCGAAACGGCCCGTCTCTCGCGCTCCTCCCAGTCCCGGCTGCCTTCCCATCCTCGTTATAAGCCCTGCTCCCGTCCTCGTTATAAGCCCTGCTCCCGTCCTCGTTATAAGCTCCCTCGCCAGCGAGATAAACCTCCCGCATCTCCTCCGCGAGCGCTAAAGCCTTATCCACCTCGCCCTTCTCCGTGTAAAGCGCCATCATTATAGTCACAGCCTCTGTAGTCACAGGCACGTGCGCGTCCTGCTGCATAGTTCGAAAGACGATTTCTGCCTGCTGGTCGCGCCATGCCTTGGCGAGTACGTTTAGGGTTGCGTGGTACACTCCTGGGGTTACCAACCGTGCGAAAGCAGGAGCTGCTGCTGCTGGTGCTGCTGCTGCGGCTGCTGCTGGCGATGCTGGTGGTGCTGTTGTTGCTGATGCTGGCACTGCTGCTCCTGCTCCAGGCGCTGCTGCCTTTGTTGCTCCTTCAACTGCTGCCTCCTCGGCTGCTTCTTTCACAGCTTCTGATGACAAACCTGACTTCTCCCTCCCAGAAACAACCCCTTCGCCTCCCACCCCAACCCCCTCCTCCTCCCCACCACTCTCTCCCCCACCCCTCTTCCACACACCAGCCCCTCTCACCCCCATCCCCTCATCCACCCGCTTCATCTCTTTCCACAAATCATATGCCTCCTGCGGCCCCCCAGCCTCTCCAAAAGCAGTAATGATAGTGGCGTAGGTGACAGCGTCAGGGCGCCACCCTGTGGCTCTCATGCGCTCAAACAGCCGCACGGCGTCCCCCAGCCTGCCAGCCCGCCCCAAGGCGTGCATTACTGTTGCATAAGAAACCTGATCCGGCATGCACTCGCTTTCGGCCATCTGCTCGAGCCATTTCAGCACCAAATCATGCTGATCCGCCCTGCGTGCATGGGGAGAAAAGGAGGGCACGAGGGGAGTGAAACGCGGTGATAAAGTGATGATGGTGGCATAGGTGACAGCGTCAGGGCGCCAGCCTGTGGCTCTCATGCGCTCAAACAGCCGCACGGCGTCCCCCGGCCTGCCTGCGCGCCCCAGGGCGTGCATGACTGTGGCGTAGGAGACCTGATCCGGCATGCACTCGCTCTCTGCCATTTGTTGCAGCCAATGCAGCACCAACTCGTGCTGGTCCGCTCTGTATGCATACCTCAAATGATAAACTACACTACCTCACACCATACAGTGTGGTGGAGCTAATAATAGAGGAGCAAGTGACGTTATCCAGCTCCACGCCCCTTTAAGTCGTCTCCGTAATAAGCTCCTTCATTCGCCCCCACTACCACCAAACTACACTACCTCACAACATACCGTGTAGCAGAGCTGATAATCGTAGAATAAGTGACGTTATCCAGCTCCACCCCCTTTTGAGTCATCTCCGTTAGAAGCTCCTTCATTCGCCCCCACTGCCGCCCCTTCCCCAGCGCCGCCAGCACCAGATTGTAGACGTACGTGCTTGGGCGAAACAAATCCTGAAAACGCAGGGGTGGAGAGCGGTGCAGGGGCCAAGGGACGAGGCGAAGATGAAAGAGAGGGAAAAGGGGATGAAGATACAATCCCACGGGCAGCAAGGGAACACTGCCGCCCCTTCCCCATCGCCGCCAGCACCAGATTGTAGACGTACGTGCTTGGCCGAAAGGACTCCTGAAAGGAAAGCAAGAAAGCGTGCGGGGAGGAGAAGGGGCCAAGGAAAGGGATGACTGGGTTTCGATGGAAGTCCTGAGCGATCGATTCAGAGGGGGATAGGGAGAGGGGTGAGTCTGGAGAGGGGATGAGGATGAGGGGGAAGCGGTGAAGGGGAGACGGGAGAGTGGATGGGGGTGAGGGGGTGGGGGTGAGGGGGATAGGGGAGAGGGGAGGAGTGAGAGGCGGGGGTTCTGATGGGCTTTCCCAAGCAGTCAATCCAATACGGTCTACACTTCATTAAACCCAGTACTCAAACGAGTCAATCTGTAGCGTAATGTGCACCGTTCTAGAGCTGCTAAAAATAAACTACAACACAAAAAAACATCAAAAACCAGCAGAGAGGCCAAGAGCAATAAGCTACATAATCAAAGCATACACCACCTCGGTCGAGATGTGGCGCCAACTAGTGTTTCAGAAAAGGATCACGAATTACTCACAACTTTCGTTTGACACCTGATTCGCGACTTAGGAAAAGGCACTACCTGACTACACCTAGCCGTACCTGCTTGCACCGCACTGAACCTGCTTGCAACACACCATACCTGTTTCCTCGCCCAATCAAAGAACGCCACGGTCATGCGCCAGTCCGCCGATTCTCGCAGCACCGTCGCCACGTCCCTCCCCGTCAGCGTCAGTCCCAGGCGCTCCAGCCGTTCCGCCACCCGCCCACTCCCCCCATCCCTTCCGCCACCTTTCCCCCCATCCCTCCCCCCATCTCCCCCCCCATCCTTCCCCCCATCCTTTCGCCACTTATCCACGACTATCCCGCGCCGATCCTCCCCGCGCCGATCCGCCCCGCTCTCCTGCGTCAACACGTCGAGAACCTGCACCACGCGCGGCGGAAAGAACCCGCGCGCCCACGCATCTCCCCCTTCCGCACCGTCGGAGCCAGAAGCGGGAAACGGAGCAGCTTGTATCGGGTGAGATCTCGGCGCGGCTGGAGCAGCTCGGTCCGTGGCGCGCGAGCGAGCAAACTGCGGGTTATTCAGTTCCCTCGGCGAGGCGCCTCGAGAATTCCCTTCAGCGCGTCTATAGACGTCCTTACTTTTGCTCCTATCGGAAGAGCTAGAGGAGCGGCTCCAGGAACGATCAGTAGGGGAACGATTCGCAGCGGAACGATTCTCAGCGTAACGCGGGTTCTCGCGCCTCGTGTCTCCGCCGCCAGCCCCGCTGACCCGACCGTCGTTTCCGGCGCGACTCCAGGCGCGACTCTCGCCGCGACTCCCGCCGCGACCAGCAAAGTCCCTGCCACGACCGCCCGACCGTCCCCGGCCGCGACCTCGGTTAAACCCTCCCGATCTGCTAAACCCGTCCTGCCGTTGATTCCTATCAGATCTCGCGTCGACTCCTTCGCTGCGAGCCTCGTCAGACGATCCCTCAGAACTTCGCTCAACATTTCGCTCAGATTTTCGCTCGCTGTCTGGTGAACTCTCGACGCTCGCTCTCGCTCCGGCAGTCTCGTCCCCGTTAGAAGCAGCGGGTGTTGTCCCGTTAAGAGATATCGGATCGGAAACCGCTACTCCAGTCGAACCGGACTCCCCCGATTCAGTCACACTGGCCCGTGTAGTCACATTCCGTTCAGTAATGCGAGTTTTAAACCCTCCAATTCTAGCAGGCTGCACGAGAGGACGCAATAAAGCAGTAAGATTGAAAGCAAGCGAAGCAGTCGAATGTCGCAGGCTCGGGTAATCCAATGACGTGGTGTAACCTGGTAACAGAAACACTCCTTGCGAAAGAACAACGGCCCCAAAAGGAGCCATTTTGCTTCAATAACCCAAGCGCACTAGGCGGATTTCACGGGTAGGAGATTCGAGCGCGACACAGGAAACGGCAACGCGTAGAACCCTACCGCAACGGTGTCGCAAGTCGCATCAGCAGAGCTGCTTCTACGAATATATGAATAAGCTGAGCGTATCTGAATAAGAGGTTTAGGAAGAGGACGAGGGTAAAGTGCTGAGAGGAGGGAGGTCAGCCTAGTTCCAGATTTCACGAGTGATTTCGGCGGTAACTGCAGGTTAGGTTCCAGATTTTGCATCCGCGGTAACCGCAGGTTCGAGGAGGGCAAACCATTCGGTACATAGAGATCCCTTCATGTTATATATAATTGTTAACCTCACAAGTGCTGAATAATTGTACGTATCCCTAACAACTACTTTCAAACATCTGCATTGACAAGGCTCCTCTCAATAAGAGCTATGCATTGACCAACTGACTGACCATCCAGCATGGCAAGCGCCAACTCTTCATGCAGGTCTTTGTGGCGCCGCAATATAGTTGACACGTTCAATACTGCCCACCGTACAACATCGTCCGACTTGCTCTGTGTGAATCCCAACGACTTGTACAAAAAGTCCAACTGCAAACAAGAAGGCCAGATTAACAAAAAAAAACAGGTGAACGGCACATGAGACACGTGAATATGAAAAGACTAGCACAAACAAGAACAGGCAAGTTCACAGTAAGAATTGACATGATTGCTACGGTGGGTTTTAACTGTACTGAAGACTTAAAAAATATGTTACCTGTTGAATGTCAGAAATGCCACCCTCTGCAACCCCGAATTGCAGGTACTCCGCACAAACTCCAGCCAGAGCCACACAAGAAACAGCATCCAGCATCTGAAGCACATCCGTGGGGAAAGCAGGAGGATTAGGGAGGATGAAGGTGAAGAAACGACATATTCATTAGAAATTTGCAAGTGGCTTGCGAGACACCCAAGCCAACACAAATGGTAAACAATGAAAGCGTTACACAGAAAAACAAAAAACAAAGAAGACAATCAAGTCTTCAAAACCTACGTCAGATTTGATTTGCAGCGTCCTCATCTGCTTCTGGAAGTCCAAATCAGGGAGGGTGGTGCCATCCTGCATGTTGAGAGCCCTGTAGCGCTAATAGGCATCCAGGCTGGAGAGAATCGTAACTCACATCAGATTTGATTTGCCGCGTTCCTGTCTGCTTCTGGAAATCAAGGTCGAGGAAGGTGGTGCCGGCTTGCACGTTGAGAGCCCCGTAGCGCTGATAGGCGTCCAGACTGGAGAGAGTGAAAGCGCGTGGAGGGATGCCCACCAGATAGGAGATGAGGAAATGCCCTGCCTCGTGCTGTGACAGGTGGGACGGAAGAGAGACGGGAGCGAGGTGGGGGAAATGGAACAGATGGTAGGAGATGAAAAATGCCCTCGCTTGTGCTGTGGGGAGGGGGGCAGGGCAGGGAGAGAGAGGGGTGAGGAAGGTGGTGCCGGCTTGCACATTGAGAGCCCCATAGCGCTGATAGGCGTCCAGACTGGAGAGAGTGAAACCACGTGGGGGGATGCCAGATAGGATACGAGGAAATGCCGTGCCTCGTGCTGTGGGGTGGGAGAGGGGTGCAAGGAGGGGCAGATCGAATCGGAGAGAGTGAATTCGCATAGGGGGATGCCCACCATGTAGGATATGAGGAAATGCCCTGTCTCGTGCTATGGGAAGGGAGGCAGAGTGAGAGGGGAGATAGGTGGGACAGATGGAAGGTGGGAGAGTGAAGCTGCGTGGAGGGATGCCCACCATGTAGGAGATGAGGAAATGCCCCATCTCGTGCTATGGGAAGGGAGGCGGGGTGAGAGGTGGGATAGGTGGGACAGGATAGAAAGTATGACGGAGATGAGAAAGTGCACTGCCTCTTGTCACTGGATGGGATGGCGGTAAGAGTGAGAAGGGAGACAAGGGAGACAAGAGGGGAGAGGCAGAAAAGACAGAAAGCAGAAGCATTCGCACGGGAAGAGGATGGAGCTGCTGTATGAGTGGAATGAGGGGTTTAAGGTTGGTTGGAGTGGTGCAAATACCATTAGGCCAAACAGGGCCTGCTATTCACAAATTCAACATGTCATTACACAGCAAAACGACAGAAAAAATGTCGAGAGTGGGATTTGAACCCACGCCCTTTCGGACTGGAACCTTAATCCAGCGCCTTAGACCAACTCGGCCATCTCGACATGGCGCAATCAATCGCTCCCTTATTTTTTTCGATACCTGGAATCAAGTTCCTGTTTGCATGATATTCAGTTTTTTTTGTTTTGAATTTTCACCTAGCAATTGTTGCAGTAAACTGTTGCAGTAAATCACCAGAGGGAATGCCTGCCTCACCAATGTCACACTCACCAGAGCAACTCGTCTGCGATAGGTGGGTTTTAGCAAGTTCCCCAAGGTGTCCACCAACAGGGCCTCGCCACCTCCACCAGTTGACACCTGAATGGACAGTAAGGTTCACAGTCAAGTGAAAATGAATTTGAGCGTGTAAAACAACCAGAAGAAATATACACACGATGCTCAACCCTTGCACGCGAATTTGCCCTGCACTGGATGGAAAGTCTGCACCCATGTTTTTTGGACCAGCCAGTTGCACCCACGTTACAAGCACCCCGCACAAGTTGCAGTGATTCTGAACCAATAGTAACGAAGAAACCAAAGTCAAACTGAAGAGACCAAAGTCAAAATGTCAACGGTTAAGTTACATTTTTTTTATAAGCACCGACGAATCTTTTTTTGCTAGCAGCGAATTGACGAAACCATTGCGAAATGCAAGAATCACTTAAGCGCCCTCTTCACAAGGCAACCTTGTGTGACTCAAACGAGCATCAGGTGTACCGATGGTTCCCAAACGACATGGAGAGAAGCAGTGAAACTCGATGCGGACTGTAGTTTTGGCCCTGTGGAATAGGGAAATTTCCTTGATGTGCCCATGTTGGACGCTTGGTCATACCCGGGTTGGAATAGGGAAATTTCCTTGGTCATACCCGTGTTGGACACTTCCCGGGAAATTCTGGTGAGGCGTCCGTATCCCACCCCCGTCTACAGTGTCCTACCTGGTCTACAGTACCGATGAACAGTAGCCCGATGACCAGCCCCAGCAGCTGCCATTGGTCCAGGTGTTCTCCCCACCACGTGGCAACCAGCCCTGCGAGCAGCAACAGCTGTCCTCCCTGCCTCACGCCCGCCAGAGTGGTGTCTCTGGGCGCCAGCATGCGAGCAGGGTCTATGTAGTGCAGCTTCAACTCCTCTATTGAGTATGACCGCCGCGGAACCTGGTGATGAGAGGAAAAGGGGGGAGGTGATAGGGGAGGGGGGGAGGAACGATGGCGTTGGTTGGCTGTCAGCAACTGGCTCTCACCCGATAGGCGTCAGCATGCGAGCAGGAAAGAGCAGGATACGAGCAGAGTAATTGTAGTTGGGCTTCAGTTGGGACAAAAAAAAGGCAGTAGAGCAGGCGAGGGCAATCGGAGGGATGCGAAGTGATGGGGGGTTGGTGATGCTGGCTCCGGCGTTAGCATGCGGAAGGATCTAGAGAACAATCTTGAGGAGCTTAGAAATTTTCTCCAGTGTAGAGCAGATCTCAGACGAAACATAGAATTTGTCAACTACTAAGATTAGTTAACCCCATGCGACGCCGGAATCATAAGCAGTAGTACAGGTGACCTGCGTATATAGTCATAGTAAGAGCCAACAATCACCTGCTGCGCCGCACCGAAGGCTCTCAGAACCTTCTCGCCCGCATCTTGCAGTACCGAACCGTCCACAGCCTCGTCCGTTCTTCCGGCGAGCCGCTTCACGAGGGCAAGCGCCTGCTCCTCCTTGCCTTCCGCCAGCAGCGCGTCGAGTTCCGCCGTTCCGCGGCTCAACCGCGCGCCCCACGTATCACTCGCGGAACTTCCGTCCCGTGAACCAGACACCGTCTGCGACCCTGTGCTTGCAGCTCGAGCGGAAAATGATTGTCGTCCGCGGGAATTTCGAATCGGAGAAAACGATGAAATCGAAGGAGAAACAATCGTCCGAAACGAATTTCTGGTGGTATCTGAAGCGGTGCGTCTTTTCTGGAATGGAACTACCGCGGTTCCAGTCGACGGACGTTTGAGCGTGAGGGGATTCCCACGGAAAATCGAAGGCCTGGTCAGGCTAACCCGCAAACCCAGCAAATCCATTAGTCTAGGAGGTGAAGACCCTGTATTTTGGGAACAATATCAGCCTTCACAAGGAAGATCTAGTATCTAGTTGCGAATTCGAGTTCGAGAATGGACTTGCAAAACAACACATCAATGATATCCGCGTTTGGGGAATATGTGATAGTCGTTAAGGACCATTGAAACACTTTCGGTTACAAACAATCGCACTAGTGCGTTGTCTGCGCACAAATTCGTGCATGTGTGCTTCTGAATGTTGTGCCGCGTGGCTGCTTGTGGCAATGCCACACCATCGGCACCACGTCAGATGGAAGCTTCACAACTTGTTCACGTTAGTAGCTCTTCTTGAGCTTTCGGAAAAAATAAACGGAGTTTTGATACAGAAAACGATATGGTTACAGAACGGATAATGTTCATCCATGGCATCTGGGGTATGGCTTGTGACTGCTCCGGATTGGAAGGGCTTGTTCCATTTTCGAACCAGAAACTCTTTATCCGCTCGTTGGTGCTGACACATCACACCTCATCAGGACCACTTCAAAATTCGGGAGGCAGATGCTTCAGGGCTTTCCCACTTCCGCTGGCGCCATACAATTGGGAAGCATTCTGAGTAAACTAGCTGTCAACCATTCATACGTGATCGGGATGACAAGGACATTGTAGGCCACTCCATAGTCAGTGTCTCGAAGACATGTGTGTTCCCACCCCCAGTAATCGAAGCTCGAACTCCGTCATTGGATGAAAAAAGTGAACCACTCAGTCTCACGTGGTTCCACGCAATAAGCCAATGAACGACGTCTCGCATGCTATTTGCCGCGTGTGGCTCCGGATGCAGGAGCTTTATGATTCGTCGTCACGACTCATCTGCACTGAAAAGCCGTTCCGCTTGATCGGGGAGCTCCCCTCCCCAGCCGTTCCAAGCCCCCCTGCCATTGGTGTAGGGCCTCGCGCAAGGTAGCGAAGGGGGAGCGCTATGCGCGGACCAGGACGAGGCGCGGGTAGAAATAAAGAAAGGGGCCAGCGGACCTGGTCGAGACGCGCAGGGCGCAAAGCAAGCCCCTCCGATTCGCGCCACGCAAATGCGATGCATCGTGCAATGCATTTTTGTGTGGGGATGTGAACGGGAAGCAGGGAATGTGCAAAACGGTTCATCTCGTCTCCAATGTTCCACAACACCACTGAGCTGTTGGCAGTGTGAACGTAGTATATATCCGCTCACTGCCGCCATTCACTGCACACTCTTATTCACTGCTCACGCACTTTGTGGTGGTTGTGGTCTTTAAACTGCCGCCGGCCTCCCACCCCTGGCTGCCTTACACAGCGTTCTTGCTTCGGCGACTTGGCTCCCTTTTTCCCAGATTGTTGTGCGCCGCTGCAACAGCTGATCCGAGACGCCGGGCTCTGAATTGACGGACATGGATACAACGATTAACGACCTCCCTGAGAACTGCATCGCCACGATTCTTTCATTCCTCACCCCAGCGACCGTCGGTCGCGTCGCGTCAGTCTCAAAGCTCTGGCTATCAGCTGCCAAGTCGAGCACTTGCTGGGACCAGCTCATCGCAAACGGTCTTCCCTCATGCTTTCGCGAAACTCCCGCGGCCCTCGCGAAAGACGAGAGGGGCCTTCGTGAAGCTCTTGGCGAAGGCGTGATGCTCGACGACGGGCGTTACCACATCCAGGTGGACCCTGCGACGTCGCTCATCACCGTGAGCGTCAGTGTCGCACAAGTCTTCGAAATTCTGTGGGAGGATCGTGACCAGGATCGCATGCGACGGCACGACATCACCGGTGCGATCTTCGACGACGTGTCGCAAGGAATTGTCGTCAATTGGCTGAGCACCTGCGGAAAGATCGATCTCCCGTTTAAACTACACAGCGGAAACTACCGCATGTCGTGGCGCGTCGCACAGGAAGACGGCGGGCCGCGAAGGTCCACAAGTCCGAAGCGCAGATTTTTGCGGTCCCAGGAAGAACCGTTGATCAGTCAAGTACGCGACGCGACGACTGGATACGTGGAGCAGCACGATCTTGACGGTATCCGCCAATGGATTTCAACCACTCCCACGTGGACTCGCATGCCCGCGGGGTTTCTGCGAGTTGGCGACGGGGGAGCTTCGGGTAACGCGTCGTCGCAATTTGCGAACGTTCGCTTGATTTCGACTCTGACGGATATTTCGCGACAACGACGGAAGCGTGGTCTATACCTGGACGCGTTCGTACTGGAGCAGATTTCTATGTAACCTCAATTTTCGAAGCACCGACTCGGATTCGATTGGCTTCCACCTGAAGTGGGGTTGTACTACCCAGAAACGCGCGACTAGTGGCGCGGTGGGTCCTACTTCGCAAGGCATGGTTACCACTTCGTCGTTCTGCGAATCGACCACCCGAGTGAGTTCAGAAGTGCGGGTGTGCGCATGCCATAACCTTTCAACACGGAAGGGGTGAACAGACATCTTTCATAAACATCAGTGGGAAAGGGTCAGAGGCATGAACGGGGAAATGTTGGCGCGGGGCGGAGCGGGGGTAGGGAATGGACTTGGGGTTGCGGGAGGAGGGGAATCGAGAGGGAAAAGCCGCGTTAGGAAACAGTACAGGGAGATTTACAATTTTACCAGAGTTAATATCAGGAGGCCTTATCATGAGGCGTGACCAGGCGAAAGTACTTCCGTTTGGGAATAGAGAGATGACGATGTGCGATTCAGAGAGCGCGAAGTAGGGAGGGAAGCAGCGAACGGGAAGCAGAGTGGCGAATCAGTGTACGAAGGGGCGCTATCATGCCAGCGTTTCATCTTGAGAAAGGACAACAAACGAGCGTCAATCTTTGATTCAGGAGACTTTGATTAGGAATACCGTATGTGAGGTGCTCCAGATAAAAATTGCGGAGGTCTTCTCCAGAGAGCGACGGATAGTATCGTGGAGAAAGACTTTCAGAAGTTCTTGTGGATATGGCTGATGGGTTCGGGGAGGAAGTTGCGTTGTGTCTCGGCGAAAGTCGATCCATTGTTTCGTGAAAGCGGGATGGCGGTGAATTGCTTCGCGAAACACCCACGACCCAGTAGTGTCGTGGAATGGATTCCCAGGTGCTGGTCTCCTAAAATGCATTCCTAGTGGATGACTGTGGAGTGGGGTGGAGTGGAGTGGAGTGGAGTGCAATTCGAAGCAGGAATTGGAGGGTGGCTGAATTGCCAAGCCAGCAGGAACAGACGGCCACCGTCAAGATCCGTCAGCAGCAGCAGCAGACGTCAGTCATGCACTGCAGTCATGTCTTTTTCTTGAAGTTCCGCCTCGATATTATTGCAGTGTGTGTTCTGTACAGTCTAACCCAGGTGGCGAAGTCACCGACCAAGCAGCTGACTTAAGCAGTTCAAATAGGGGTTTAGAGAGGGTTTTGTGGTTTCTCTGTAATGTCTTAGAAACACTTTTAATAATGCACGCTGGATTTATCAACTACAGAGCTGGTCACGCAAATACAGTCACACCACAATGCCCATTGAACATGCTGTTGGAATTGAGGACAATATCATACATGAATACTTCTATAACAAACTACCGCAATACACGTGGAGAGGCAACATTATACAGTATTATTTACAGTTATGCAGAACAGCCAGCTGCTACTTGAAATATACTGGTACTACCTTTTCTCCGCTTGCAAGCATCAGTGCTTGCTTCATCCTAAAGTAGCCGCCCCTCCACTGATCTCTCTCTTTCTTAAGCTGCTGCAGCTGCTGCCTTAGCACAAGCATGTGGTTCACAGCAGCACAGGCAAGCAGAGCAGCAAGCGGCAAGCAGAGAACCCACACAGGCACCACCACCATTGCCTGACAAAAGCAAGTGCGACTGGTCATCCTCCTGCTGCTGCTGTTTGCAATTGCTTCACTGCACGTTACACAGGCATTGTCATTCTCTTCAGCAGCAGCAGCAGCAGCAACAGGGGAGTATAAAAGCGGGGGAGCAGCGGCAGCAGCAGCAGCGGGAAGAGAAGGAGGAGCAGCAGCAGCAGGAGCTGGAGCAACAGGAGCAGGAGGAAGGAGAGGAGGGGAATCGAGACTAGGAGGATAGGAATCAGGGACAGGGAGATGAACGAGAGGGTGCAGAGGGATGTGGGCTGAAGGAGGGTCCATGCTGTGCTGTAAACTCCGGTCAGTAAACACCTGTCTGTGCGGATCCGAGGCATGTGGATTAAGCCTGCCTTCCTCATATTCCAGGCAGGTAGCATGACCCAAAGCTGCTGCTCTAAACCGTTCTGTACCGCTGGTTGCCACAGCTATCTGCTTTGAACCTGCCACGACCCTGCGCCCAGCCTCTCCTCTACCCACTCCCCTTTCCACCACGTGCCATTCGTTATCGTCACATCCCATTAGCTCACATTCTACTCGGTCCCTAACCTCCTCCCCACCTTCTAGCGCCCACCCCTCCTCCCCATCCCATCTGCCAGACACCTCCCACGCTGTTCCGCCTCCAACCCATACACCAGGCATCTTCCTGTCCAACCCCCCTCCAACCTCTTCCCCAGGCAACTTCCTGTCCGGCCTGACAGTGACCCCTGCGCCAGCTGTTTCCAACTCTGATCCGCCTCCACCCCGTTGGTCAGGTGCCAACCAATACCCGCCCGGTCTGGCTGTGACCCCACCAGCCAATTCCCACTCCGATCCGCCTCCACCCCATTGGTCAGGTACCTTGGCACCCGGTCTGGCTGTGACCCCTGCGCCAGCTGATTTCCACTCTGATCCGCCTCTGGCCCAAGGCACATCCGACCGACCGTTTGAGAGACCCCCTTCCCAGGGGTCATTCGCAAAAGGCACCCCCATGACGTCATTATGATACTCCGTTTCAGGAACAGCCGCAGATGCACTCATATAATAAGCAGTTTTGGGAACATTTTCAGCAGCTGTCATATTATTATGACCAGTTATGGGAGCAGCGCTGTGAGTGGTGTCAGGAGCGCTCACAGGGATAAGCTCCCAGTCTGTTGGCTCCAGACACGTGGGGGGAAAGAGCTGCTCGGTTCGTGAAGGAAATCGAGAAACGGCCGTATGATAGTCAGTATTAGGAGCAGTGCTGTGAGTGGTGTCAGATGCACGCCCAAGAACAAGCTCCCACTCTGTTCGCTCCAGAAACGCGGGGAAAAGCAGAGGCTTCGTTGGTGAAGGAAATTGTGATACTAACGGGAGTGCCACTGGTGACTGGTTTTGAGTAGCATCGTGTGAATCATAGGGGGAGAGCGGAACGGATGAAGGAGTGCGCGGGGAGGCGGAGGCGGAAGCGGAAGCCTGGTTTGGCGGAACGGGAGCCGCTGCAAGTGGACTTGCTCCTCGAGGAGCGGGTTCCGCGGAGGACTCAACCAGCTTCGCCACTGAGAAGTTCCCCCGATGCTCTGCCCGCAGAGTGGTTTTCGCGGAGAGTTCGCGCTTGAGCGGCCGCGTGCGCCAGGAGGAGGGTAACGGGCTGCTTCTCTGAGTCGACTCTGTTATCGCCTCTTCACACGTGGACGTTTCCCGTTTGAGCGGGCGCGTGCGCCAGGAGGAGGGTAACGGGCTGCTGAGCCATGCTCTATAGAGGTCCTCGAGATCTGTTTCCTCGTTAGAAGACCCTCCGATATCGTCGTCGTCGTCCGCTTCGCCGACGTCGTCGTATTCGTCGGAGATGCTGCTATCCTCGCTATAGGCATCCGCGTCGTCAAGCTCGGAAACAAACGAGGTTCCGTGCGTACATTCAAGTTGTCGCATGGTGGTTCTACGCGCATCCATATGCGAGGACAAATCACCTTCTTCACAGCTGTTTCTCGTTTAGACGGAGTTCATTTTCTCTCGCGAGTGATCCTTCGTCATCATACAGCAGAAGCGATAGCGGATTAGATGGCGCGTGACTTCATACAAACTTCCGAGTTCTAGGTGCTTCGAGCTTGCAACTTTCGAGGGCGAACTCGTACAGGACGTTCGTCAATGCAGCAAAGCGTTAGCATTTTTTGGTTCAAACGAATAAGGGTGCATTCCTGTGGGGACACTTGTGTCTCAATCCCCGTTTTCCTGAGTCGCGCCTGTAAATTTGCCAAATGTTGTGTCACAAACAACCAATGTATCGCGACCCTGCGCGACAGATGGGCACAGCCAGGTGGGTGCGTACTATTGGTTGCGACCAATAGGATTGTGCCCACCCAGTTTTCCCGCCGGGCAGGGGGGCTAAACATATCGCACCACCTCGAGTATCGCGGTGGGCTTGCCACAGAAATGAAAGTTGCAATTTGGGCCACCCCACACACAACAGCATGTATACAACCACGGCTCCAAGTAAAAAAACGCAAGCATCACAGAGCTAAACTGCACCACTGTCTAGCAACCATGGCATCGCCCCGCGAGGTGCCATTCCTCATGCGCCTACTTGTCGCATGGGTTACGTTCTACTACAGCATATTCATGGACGCCATCGCCAAGTCGGTCGGTGGCTTGCTGGAGGCGAACGTCTTCAATGACGAGGTGTCCTCGTCATCCAGCTCTCGCGCCTCCAACCGTACCGCAGAGCGGAAACGAAGGGCTGGGTTACGCCGGCGGAGATACCAGTTGCTGCTAGAGGACCTGGACGGCATGGGGGAGGATCAGTTCAGAGATATGTTTCGCATAAACCGTGGCATTCTCGAATACATTGTCGCCGGGATGACGCACTACATGCAATCGTACGTGGACAGGTACCTAATCAGTCATGAAGTGGCATGCCTTGTACCTATCAAATACCTCGCAAGTGGCATGTCTTTCGTAGACTTGTCCTCCGAGTTCGGGCTGTCCAAGACCCTGTGCCACATGCTTGTTGACGCGCTCCTCATGCATTTCTCGTCCGTCTTCAAGCAGCAGTGGGTCCACTTCCCGACCCGCGACGACCTCGACGAGATGGCCGCAGAGTTCCGCGCCATCAAGGGGGTACCTGCGGTAGTGGGGGCTATAGACGGCACACACATACCCATGAAGGGGATGGAGGGGCACAGGCAAGAGTACTACACGCGGAAGTCCTGTTACGCCGTCCAGTTGCAGATCACATGCGACGCGCGAGGCATCATATGGGACTATTTGATCGGATACCCGGGCAGTGCGCACGATCAGAGAGTGTTCATGAACAGCGTGTTACACGAAAGGTTGTACAACGGCGACATAGCGCCATACCAAATAGTGGGAGATGCTGCCTACCCACTCAGAGACTTCTGCCTGACCCCCCTACATGCTCCCCGTGAAGGCCTAATGGAGGACTGGGAGCAGTGCTTTAACTATTGCCAAAGCGCAACGCGCATGGCAGTAGAGCGCTGCATCGGCGCCTTCAAAGGCCGGTGGCGTCTATTCGCGGGCCGCAATGACTGCAAGCTCTGGCGCATTCTTGCAGGGGCGTCTTGTGGCGTCATCCTGCACAACATGTGCGAAATGATGGGCGCAGTAAGGCGCGTCAATGCGTCGGCGTCCTCGTCGGCGTCAACTTCATCCTCGGAGGGGGACATGCCCTTGTCCTGCTCCTCGCCAGAGTCCGCGTCGTCTTCGCAGGCCTCGTCGCACTCGTTGTAATCAGAGTCCGCGGCGTCATCATCGTCATCGAAGGCAGCATCGTCGTTGACGCGGGATGAGGCAACCCGGTCGGCATGACGGCGTCCGCGGGTAGGGACATCGCGCGGGGCTTCGAACGAGGTGTCCCCCGCACCAGGCGCTCCTTCGGGCAAAGGGCCGGCGGGCTTGCGGCCGGCCGCGATTTGTTTGTTCATCCAAGCGATGTACGGGATCTCGTCGAGATCCCGCGGGCACAAGTCAACAGAACTAGCTACGCTCTTGCGCTTACGGGCCATGGCTACAGCGTGCCAAAGAAGACCCTGGCTAGACTTCGCAACAAGAAAGAGGAAGCTCGGGTTGGGAGAAGAAGAACAGATTGGAGCGGGAGCGTGCTGTCAGTGTGGTTGGAACGATGGGCAAACATTCGGGCAGGGATGTAACCGTGTGTGCTGAAGGACCAGTCATATGTCAGCCCGGGCAGAGCGGTTTCCATCCCCGCGCGGAAACGTGCCCAGGTGCATGCTGTACAGTGTGAGATTTCGACACGCGTGCGATTTTCGGGATGTAACGATTCGTGTAACTCGTCCGCGACACAAGCGCAATTGACGCCAACCAATGTAAAATATAGTGGAGTTCGCATAAGCGCGATCCGCTTTTGTGACAGGGCACGGTATATGCTGTTTTTAGATGTCACAAAGTGATTGAGACAGAAGTGTTCCCGCAGGAATGTACAGCAGCAATTATCATCCAATCAAAATCCGCTAACAGACTGGCAAATAACATCACATACATGTCATGTTACATGTAACCTTCCCCCAGCAGGTGCACCAGTCATCCCCGTTACAGCATACTCTCCCCCACTTAGCAGAAAGTGGCTGGCAGATGCATCTGCATCCCTAGCAGTCTGCTGACCACTAGCATGTACCAATAGGTACAGATCCCCGATAGGGGAAAACCACCCGCAGTGCAGGAGTGATAGCTGCGATAGCTGCTAGTTGTGCCTTGTTAGGCACAGCAGGTGCAGCAAGGTTGCTACCTTACAGGATCCTCACCCACTATCGTGGGTGACGGCTGGGCAAATACCAGGTCTAGCAGTGTCGCTAGCACTAGCTTGCCCAGCGGGAGTATTTGAATCTGATTACAAAGAAAACAAGTACTAACAAAAATGATTAGCAATCTGACAAAAAATGTGACCCAGCATCATGTGCAGGAGCGCAAGCCCCTACACAGTCTGCTGGGGTAAAACCAGAAGCCAGAAGACTCCCGGCCGCCAGACTGCCTGTAAAACACTTCAAAAACGAAAAGAACCGTGAGCAGATAAAACTCCCAGATAGTCACCAATCATTCGCAGCCAACTCCCCTCATGTAGCCTCCCCTTCCCCGTCACATGCATGAGACAGCCTCACAGCCTTGAGAAATTCAGACTGCCTCATGCCCACCCGCCTCTTCCCCTCTACAGCCCCGTCTGGTGCTTCAGGTGTCGCGCCTCCTTCTCCCCCGCCGCGCCCATCTGCGCGCCTGCCACTTTCTGCTCCTTCCCCATTTCCGCGCTCGTCTTAGTTGCCGCCTCCTTCGCGTCCGCCGCCTCGTGCGCGCTGTGGCTGAACGGGTGCTGCGCCTTGTCCACGCTCTCCTGCGTTTCCGCCTTGCCCTTGCCCAGCATCTCGCCGCCCTTGGCCTTGGCTTCGCTGGCCTTCTCCTTGGCCGTCGTGCCGAGGTCGCCCAGCTTCTCCTTCATCGTCGACATGATGGTCGCGTGATTCGCGGACGGAAGCAGTAGATCGGCGCTTGGGAACTGAATCGTCGAAACGATAGTTGGAAATCCAAGAGATTTGGAAGAAGGTTTGAGATCAGAAAGCCTCACTGATACGAACGAACGACGGGGAATGCGTGCAGTTATGTAGTGCGACTACAGGTAAGGTGAGAACGTCTTCGGAAGCAAGCCAATGTCGAGCTTCCACAACGATTGTTCTGATGTGCGTCGCGTGACGGACTCGGAGTCGCGATGCTTGAGGCAAGACGACACGGTGGGATCCCGCCGATTTCGATTTGATGCGCTGCGAGCCAGCACATCATGACTCGAAAGCGAGAGCCACCACGTCAGATAAACGCGGCGTTCCTCGATTCACATTGACAAAGCTCGTCATGCTGCCGACGTGAAGCTGCTGGCGAGGAATTTTACGCCAACACCTGGCATCTGATGTACATGTGTCGTTGACATAGAGAATGCTGACTCGCTATAGACCGACGCCTCGAATCGCCCGCTTCTGCGGGCGCTCAATTCACGACTTCCCATGCCACGCTCCGTGGACGTTTCAAGAGGGAAAGGCGGCTCCAGTCAAAATAGAACGCCTTGGTACAGTTCCGCAGCCAAATTCGCCCCTCTGCTTCAGCAGTGGTCTTGGATTTGACAAATGCAGATCTGTGATAACAGCTGGCGAAGATAGCAATGATGCTGCATGGGAGGACGCGTGGCATGGAGGCGCAGGGGGTGGAGGTGGAAGTGAACGCCCTATAAGCTGCTCCGACTAGTGCTAGTCTAGTCAAGATGGCGACCTTAAGTGTCCTTCTCAAACCAAGCCAAGCCAAATAAAAGAATACGGTATGCAGCCTCAGTTCAGCATCCAGATATATAATGCACAATGCAATCTTGCCCCTCTTATACTTGGTGTTCCTCCATATAATCGCCACCGTAGTTCCATTGAAGCAATATCCCACTCTTTACCTTACCGTTTCCCTGCCTCCCCATTACTCTCTCTACTAGCCTCTGATCACAGCTGCTTTCACACCCTCTATTTCACTAGCATCATCTCTACTGTTACCGCTAGACTTTTTGTTCTCATCATCATCACTGTCCTCACCATCGTCCTCATGTGCGCCTAGCGTTCCGCCCATATCGAAATCAATGGTGTAGTCATACTCGATAGTAGGCACCAACGACGAGATGAACTTGAGGAATATAAACAGGTACCTGCAAACAAGGGGTGCATAGAACAGGGAAAAAAATAAGATGGAGGTGCGAAAACAAGGAAACAAGCGGATTAAAGAAGTGAGAAGCACGTACTGGTCGACACGTGGCTGCACGCCATTGGCTGCCATGATTCCAATGATCTTCTTCATCACCGCTGCATGCTTGCATGGGTGCACCGATGCGTACTTTCCTGGAAGGTGCGGATGGTCGTCAATTGTAACCTGCATGCAGCGAAACAGACATGCATCACATCACATCACATCACATCACATCACATCACATCACATCACATCACATCACATCACATCACATCACATCACATCACATCACAGCGAATAGAAACACATCATCACATGCGCACGTAATGCGATATGAGGTATGGATAAGCTATGACTACGACTGCAATGTAGAGACTAAAATAAAAAGGGCTGTCTGTATGGCCATGACTCAATCTCATTCAGCGTACTCACCATTGCCATCACCCCATAATAGTCACACTCACCGTTTTCTTCACATCGTATTGCTCACATCCTGGAACACTCGCTCTGCTGCCATGACACACACATAATCACACCTATACCGCCACTACGTTATAATCACACCGTTACCACCCCATTAAAGTCACATTCACTCACCGTCTTCTTCACATGGTCTTGGCTCACATCCTCAAACACTTTTTCTGCTGCCAGCGGCTGCCGTTCCTGCGGCGATGGGAACAATGGGAATGGCAGGGGAAGGAAGGGGGAGGGGGGCACGGGAGGAATGGAAAGGAAGGGGAAAAGTGAGAAGGGGCTTGGGTTCACATCTCCAAACACTCTCTCCTGCCAGAGGCTGCGTTGCTGCAGCTAAGGGGAACGGATGGGGATGAGAGACAGGGACAAGTGGGTGGGAGTCAACGAGCAAGGGTGGGGACTTGAACAGTAACCGAAATTGTGAGATCATTCCAATATAAAAAATAACACAGTGGATTTAGTGAGAATGATACAACAGATGGAGCAAAATTGACAACGAAATGGATAGTGAAGGGGACATTAAGGTTTATACGAGCTCAATGCACCTCACTGTAACCGCATGAATTTTAGAAATTATTTAGATGTCTCAGAATGTATTTACTCTTACCTGGCTTTCAGGGCTCAGCTTACCTCGTCATAACCAAAGAGCCATATTCTCGGAGTCTGGTAGTACTTGTCGTATCTGGGTGGGGTTTCAAGCACACATGGAATGGTGAAAAATGAGGAGATGATGAAACTAAGTCCTGGGTGCGGGAGGTGCTGGGTGCGGGAGTGAGCGAGGGAAAGTGAGTGAGAGAGGGTAAAAGAGGGTGAAAGGGAGCGAAAGAGAATGAAACAGGGCGAAAGAGAGTGAAAGAGAGTGAAAGAGGGTGAAAGAGTGAAAGCGAGTGAATGAACGCACGTGATGGTGAGGTCGTAGGTGCGAGTCTGCAGAATGTGGTCGTCCTCTGGCTCTGTGGCCACCAGGTACCCCCCTCCCCCCAGCTGTAGCGCCGCCTGGAGCAGAGAGAAGCGGGTTTGGCGGAGGGGTGGAAAGATGTTTTGAGATGTCTCAAAGCGGGTTTGGCGGAGGGGTGGAAAGATGTTTTGAGACGTCTCAAAGCGGGTTTGGCGGAGGGGTGGAAAGATGTTTTGAGACGTCTCAAAGCGGGTTTGGCGGAGGGGTGGAAAGATGTTTTGAGACGTCTCAAAGCGGGTTTGGCGGAGGGGTGGAAAGATGGTTAGTTTTGAGACGTCTCAAAGCGGGCTTGGCGGAGGGGGGGAAAGATGTTTAACATGGGATTGCAGAATGGGGTCGTCCACAGGCACAGGCACAGGCACAGGCACAGGCACAGGCACAGGCACAGGCACAGGCACAGGCACAGGCACAGGCACAGGCACAGGCACAGGCACAGGCACAGGCACAGGCACAGCCCCAGCCACAGGCACAGCCACAGGCACAGGCACAGGCACAGGCACAGGCACAGGCACAGCCCCAGCCACAGGCACAGCCACAGCCACAGGCACAGGCACAGGCACAGGCACAGCCACAGCCCCAGCCACAGGCACAGCCACAGCCACAGCTCCAGCCACAGGCACAGCCACGGGCACAGCCACAGGCACAGCCCCAGCCACAGGCACAGCCACAGGCACAGCCACAGCCACAGCTCCAACCACACAGGCACTCACAGGGTCAGCATCGACAACATTATCCACATCATCGAATTCCGCTATATCGGGTACATCGTCCTCCTCCTCTTCATCTCCCCCCGCTGCTCCTCCAGCAGTCCTTTCCCCTGCTCCTGTTCCCCCGCCCTCCCCTCCTCCTCTAGTTGCTGAGGTTGCCAGAGCGTCGATGGAGGGAAGGAATTCTTGCTGTGCCGACCCTGCACCTGCTGCTGCTGAGGCTGAATGGAGGAATGGGAGACACGAGGAGACGGTAACGTGAGGAGAGAGTCAGGCAGTCAAGCCGCTCAAGGCAGCGAATGCACTCATCTCAGTCAGAACAGTCAGTCGAGTCAAGGCAGTCAAGGCAGTCAATGCAACCATGCCAGGCAAACTTACAAGCACCGCCAAGCTTCGACGTGGCGACCCAGGGCTCGTTGCCATCCCCGTCCACGTCAGCATCGACCAATGTCTCGCTGCCACCTGTCGCCAGCAGCACCTCCTCCTCCATCGCCCCCACTCGCCTCAGACAGGGGACTGCACGGGGGAGTGGTGAGGGGGACGGGGGGGAGGGGACAGGGGGTTCAGAAACGGGGAGGCGAGTGCAGGGAGGAAGGGAGGAGCAGCAATGTGCGGAGGGCACCTGCGGCCAGCAGCACCTTCTCCTCCCATCGCCCCCACTCGCCTCAGACAGGGGAATGCACAGCGAGGGCGGAGGCGGGGGGAAATTAGAAAAGGGGTGGTGAGTGAGTGCAGGGAGGTGGGAAGGGCGGGAGGTGTGGAGAGCACAGTTGCTAGGACTGCTACCAACTGTTGCTAACCTACCATTGTGATGTGACTGATAAGGTACTGCTTGTCAGGTGGCAAGAAGCTGCTGAGAAGCTACCATGACTGTGATACAGACAGGAGGCTGCTGAGAGTGGGGACAGTTCAGGGATGTAACTCGGTGCTGTCAGACAGGAAGAGATGGAGAAAGAGCCTACCGTTGCGAGTGATGAGGCACTGCTTGTCAGCAGGCAGGAAGTTGCTGAGAAGCTACCATGACTGTGAATCTGTGATACAACCTACCGTTGCGAGTGATGAGGTACTGCTTGTCAGGAGGCAGGAAGCTTCGTCGGCGAGAGGGGTCCGCTCCTTCCCTGACAGAAGAAAGATGAGAGCGGGGGAAGCAGCAGAAGGATCATATAACAAACAATCAACGAGTTATCGAATCAGGGAATTAGCGAATTATCGACCTCAAGCGCCACGTCAGACAAGCTCACAAGGCCCACGTGGGACCATTCTACACCAAATGTCGAGAACACCCGCAGTCTCACCAGGACCACGTGGGACATTTAGCCAGCCGCCACAAATTGTCGTCCAACTCCTGTTGTCTCTCTATGGCGACGAACTCGTCCGGCGTGAGGACGCCTTTATAAGCGAAGGCTGTGGAACTCACCAGACACGAGTTAGACACGTGTGACGTCAGACAAACTCACCAGGACCACGTGGGACATTTGGCCACCAAGTTATCTCCAGCAGCGACGAATTCGTCCGGCGTGAGAACGCCTTTCTCCGCGAAGGCCGTGGCGCTGCGCGCCGATAGCAGCATCTCCGCCGTGCTCTTATACGCCTCGTGGATGCGGTGCCGGAGCCCCGTGACGTCCATTGCAGCAGCCCGCTACGGTGCGAAGTTTGAGTTGCAAGCCGCACAATACGGGGACGAGAAACGTTTCGCGTAGTTGCAGGTCAAGTAGTAGCACTAAAAACGCCTCGTGGGTTCTATATTTAAGACGAGGGACTCTATAGCGAGGATAGCAGCAGATTCGCGGTGCTGTCGAACGCCTCGTGGATGCGGTGTTCGAGACACGGAGCGCCAATCATGGCGATACTTTGTCTGCACGATTACTGCGGTTAATATCCCATCAAGAACATCGTAACGCAAGCAGGCGACGAAGCGACGCTGGACTCTGGTGAGGAGGTGTGCTACAGCGTTACTATACGCACTTGCTTGCGGTGAGAAAAGAGCTTGATTAACCAACAAGATAAGGCTCTGGAAACCTGTACTGACGAGTGTCTCTAGAATTTGGGGAATCGACACGAGGAATGCTCGCCCACACAACAGGAGTACGGCAGGGAGGGAGAAACTAAAATCTAGAATCTAGAACCAGCTAATACTGATTTTATTGAAACCAGGAATTACTGAGGTAATTCCGAGGTCCCCAGGAAATGATGAAGCTCGGGGGAACCTTGGGTCAGAAGAAGAGCGTGTTCAATATGAAGGGTTTATGAAGGCTCATCTCAGTTTCACGATTTCTTTTTGCGGAAAGCTTGTTACGGGCACAAAAATATTCTAGACTGGAATGTAACAAAATTTATTGACCTGAACTCTGGTACTGAGCAGCTCATATATTGCAAATCACGCCCTCAAATTGCTTTCATAATCGATCTGTCCATTTCAAGTGTCGGTTCGGTTGTGGGGATGCGAAGCAAACATGTTATTGTCGCGTGGCGTTTCGCTCAGGTACCGTTTTGCGAAACTTTCGCGACATCTACATCCAGCATTTCCACAATCACAATCCAGGCTGCACACCCGAGTTCGAAATCCGGCTGACCAAAATTCTGCAACATTTCGGGCTGGCCCTGCAAATTACTGACTTGACTGTCAGTGCATGTAGTTCTAAATCAATCTAGGTTAGTGAGGCTACTTACTCTCGGGTACACGTCATCGGCGCGTCAGGATTTGACTGTCTTCGGTTCATTCTTGGACACCAGTTACACGCATCGACTGCTTGCAATAGGTGACTTGTCAGAATTTTGAAGCGACCTACCATGCCAGCTAGGGTGGAAGGTTCGAACGTTGCACTCGCGGACATGGAAAGGAATGCGGAAGGAAATGCGGAAGTGGAGACGAAAAGGGCGGAGGAAGGGGAGGCGGAAGGGGAGGCGGAAGGGGAGGCGGAAGGGGAGAGTGCTAATGAGGCGGGCGCCCAACGGGAGGGGAACGGCGGGGGCGGAAAGCAGGGGGAAGGGGGGAGTAGAGGGGACGCGTGTAGCGGAGTAGTGGGAGAGAGAAAGGGGGGGAATCAGCGTCGGGGGGTTGAGGGTTTGGGTGGAGAGGGGAAGACGGACGAGGGAGTGTTGGCGGAGGAGAGAAGGCGGATTCTATTCCGCAAAGGGGGAAAGGCGGAAGCATTTGCGCGGACAGGGGGAAGTTCTGGTGGGGATACGGGGAAGGGAAAAGGAGGGGATCAGCCGGGGGAGGCGGGATCAGGAGACGCGGGGGGGGGAAAAGGCAAGGGGAAAGGGGGAAAGGAGCGAGGGGAGGGGGATGGGGAGGATGAGGAGGAAGAGGAGGAGGGGATGGGGCGGCAGCAGCTGGAGGAGCTGTACCGGCACCTGAGACAGCCCAGGGTGGTCCTCAGGTGAAAAAAACAGAGATGGGTGCTGGCATGGATGCAGTTGTTGGAAGTTCATGTGGATAGGCATGCTTCTTCACTTTTTAGTCGATGGGTGCGCATCTTATCCCAACCGTCTTCACTTCAATTCATCCCTTGTTCTGTGCGTCTCCATGTGGCATATGGCATGTGGCATATGGCATGTGGCATATGCTTGTATGCGTGCAGAAAAGAAGAATCCATTGCGCAGGGGATCGCAAACGGATGCTTTGAGGCAGGGCAGAGCAGGGAGCATCACCACCACCCCGCCACTCACAACCCCTCTCTCTGCGCGACAGCCACCCCCTCGGTGTGTGTGGCAGAGGTGCTGTTGCAGCGCGGCAAGTGGTGGGGCAGCACGGGGATTGTCCGGCGCCAGCGGCTCTTCTTGCATATTGAAGAGGCACTGTAAGTCAATGTAAGTATGTCAGCTCCAAGGTATGAGGCCGGCAAGTGGCGCGGCAAGTGGCGCGGCAAGTGGCGGGGCAAGTGGCGTGGCAAGTGGCGGGGCAAGTGGCGCGGCAAGTGGCGGGGCAAGTGGCGCGGCAGCACGGGGATTGATCGGCACCAGCGGCTCTTCTGCCACATTGAAGAGGCACTGTAAGGCTTTTACTCCTGATTAAGGCTGTGAGTTGAAAGATGATCCTGCGTTTTGCTGCTTCCAATCCCGTCTAGAGCCTTTACCATGCCCTGCACCCCCCTATCCTCCGCTGCTCCCTTCTCTCTCTCTCCCTCCCTTCCCTCTCCCCTCCTTCCCCTCCTTTCCTCCACCCAACCCACCCCCATCCCCACTTCCCTAAAAACTCCCCGTCACCTCAGGTTTCTCATGGACAAAGGGCTCTCTGCTTCTCCTCTCCCCATCCGGCTGCCCCGTCCCTATCCAAGCCCTTCGGCTCCTCACTTCCTCCTCTCCTTGCCCCACCTCCCCGTCACCCCAGGTTTCTCATGGAGAAATGCTCTCTGCTCCTCCTTTCCCCCTCAGGCTGCCCCGTCCCCATTCAAACCCTCTACCACGCCCTGCACTCCGCTGCCCTCGGCTGCTCACCTCTCCCCTTCCCTTCCTTCTTCACACCTCCCTCCCTCCCATAACACCTCTTCTTTTCAGGTTCCTTATGGAAAAGGGGTCGCTCCTCCTCCTCTCCCCCTCTGGTTGCCCCGTCCCCATCCAAACCCTCTATCTCGCACTGCGCTCCCCTCTCCTCGGTTGCTCCCTCAACGCCTACCTAGCCTACGCGCACCTGCGCCGGCTCGGGTTCATTCTGGCCCGGCACGGCGTCCCCTGGACCCGAACCGGACCAGCAGGCTCGGCAGCCAGGGAAAACACAGCGGAGAGTTCAAATTTGTGTGGGAAGGGGGGAGAGAAGAAGGAGACAGAGACGCGTCAAGGAGGGAAGCAGGAAATGGAATCAGAAAGAAGACGTGGTGAAGAGACGCAGGAGAAGGTGACTTTTGAGTCGACTCAAAAGTCACCGTGTCAAGGAGGGAAGCAGGAGATGGAAACAGAAGGAAGACGTGGTGGTGGAGAGACGCAGGAGGAGACAACAAGGTGTACAGTTGAGGCTGATTCATCAGTTGAAGGAGAGGAGATTCCAGACGAGGGATTAAAGCCCATGTTCGATGTCTACTACCCCAATGCACGGTTCAAAAAGTCCCTGCCAGGCCCTCCGGACTTTCTGCTCTCGGTCGTTGACTCAAGGTGAGCTCTCTCCCTCTCCCTCTATCCCACTCTCTTTCCATCCCCCTCTCCCCGGTCGCTTTATTCCCCTCTTCCCTTCTCCCCTCTCCCCCTCCCCACCTTTCCTCATCTCCTCTTCCTACCAATCCTCTTCCCACGTGCATGTGTGATGTCTGCACTTCCCCCCCTCTACTCCTGTGCTATATACCCACACATTATACCTCACCGTACCAGATCTCCAAGGCTTTGGTCACTCTCAGCAACAGCAACTTTCCATCCCCAAAATATCATACCGTAAGGCCCCGGATAGAAGCGCAGGCCTCGGATAAGCGCCGGCGCTTATAAAAGGATGACGGCGCTTATATCCGGTCCTCGATTATAAGCCCACCCCCTAAAAAAAGATGATTTATTATAAGCGCATGTTTTTTTTTCATTTGAAAACCTGACGAAATGCAGAAACGAATTTCACATTATCAGGGAAACGAACTACAAACTCGATTTCCCACACTGTGATCTCAACTTTTGCGCGTCTAGTCAGCATGTGCTGTCATTCTGTCAGTTTGAGTTGGCAGGGAATCACTCCCTGCCAAGTTGCGCGAGAATCAGATTCGCGACCCCATATGTTTTCGACTCGATTACAATTGGCAGAACGAGATCTACAGTTTGGTGTAAAACAGATAGAAATTCGTTTTGCCATTTTATAAACGCCGGCGCTTATAAATTTCCTCGATTATAAGCGCACCCCCTAAAAAACAGTGTTTTTTTATACCCCCAGGGGCGCTACTATCCGGGGCCTGACGGTATCTCTTCTCCCTCACTGTCACCCGTTTGCAGGTCACCCTTCTTCTCCCTAATTGGGGTGGTTGCTGTCTCCCTCAGCAGTATCTTTCCATCCCTATCCCCTCGTTTTATTGTCTCCCTGCTCCCTCACTGTCACCCTCTTGCAGGTCACCCTTCCCATCCCTTCCGAACTTGAAACGGCTTCTGGGACACTCTTGTGCTGCTTCAGGGCGAGGGAGTAAACCAGGTGGGATCCTTCAAACGGCTCCCGTGACTCTCTCACCACATCTCACAGGCTCAGTGGAAGCTGGTGTGAATGAAGCAGCAGCAGCACAGAGCGGCTATGACCCAGCAGCAGCAGCAGCAGCAGCAGCACGTGCAAGCGTGAGGAAAGCTGATGTCGATGTACCCGCGGCTGCTGTGCTAGTCAAAGTTGCTTGTGTTAGGGATGGTTATGTTACTATTTTTGAAATCACTGCTGTAACACTACCTTTGCTGACTTGAATATCCACAAATTCCATGCCCAATATCCCTTGATTGTGGTCATTCATTGCCCCTTCCAGTCTTTACAGAGCCTGAGAGGGTCTACTCGACCCTCGACAATATCCACGCCCAATAGCTACAGGCTCTTGTATCGCTACCCGCAAGTAACAGTGCTATCGTTAGAAATGAATATTCACTAAATCTACTGTTCTTAAGTGAAGAAGGGAGTACAATCAGCTTTTTGCAGTACAAGCGCCAAAGCCTATGAAAAGCCAGCTCCAAAAATCAGAAGATTAACCCATTCGCCACCGCTTTTGCTGTATTCGTGCTTTCATGATCCAGTACACTGACAACTACAGTACTACACATCAAGGATCGTCTTGTCAAGGCGGCCCACTCGAGCACTGAGGGATGCAAGGGCAACAGGGCGCATGCACATGCCATCTGTGCTGCCAGCAGCAGCCGGAGAGCATGCATGCGTGTGCTCGTCCTATGCCGCTCAGTGACCCGCATGGCTCTTAGTCGCACTTGATGTTGCGGTAGATACGCCGCACAAACATGGACGATCCCAGGTAACCGATAGCACCTGTACAGGGGGGTTGGTGTAGGGGAGGGGGGAGGGAAGGATGAGATGGGAGATAAATCAGCGACCCCGGTTACTCAGCATGGCTCTCAGTAACACTTGATGTTGCGGTGGATGCGCCCCAATTATGGACGATCCCAGGTAGCCGATTGCACCTGCAGTGGTTGGTTGGTGTAGTGGTGGGGAAGGCAGGGGGGAGTGTTGGATGGGGTGGGATGGGACGAGGGGTAAATGAGAAATCCGGTCGCTCGTATGGCTCTCAGTCACACTTGATGTTGAGTATATATGAACCCAGGTAGCCAATAGCACCTGTGCAGGGAGGTTAGTGAAGGGGAGGGGAAGGGAAGTTGTGGGAGGGAGGAAGGGAGGAGTGTGGGATGGATGAAGGGGGTGTAGTGTAGTGTGCAATAGAGACACCTGGTTGACTGAGAAGCCACCCAGAGTAAGTGTGAGGAAAGCGAAGGGCAGGGTAGGGGATTGCGAGGGGGTGTGGGATAGACAAAGGGGGTTGGATGGGAAAGGCAATCTTGGATGGGGTTAAGGGGGGTTCGAGATTGTAAGGGTTGAGGGAAGGTGGTGCATGAAAACAGAGTTAGAAAAACCGACACAGGGGTACCATGCAGCAACATGTGATACTTGATGCGAATAGAAGGTGGTTTGAAAAAAATCCAGATGGGAGATGGTAGATCTACTACCAGCAATTTTGCTGGTAGTAGATGCAGGTGGGAAAAGGGTGGGGATCTAAAGTTTCAAGAGAACACATACCGCACAGAATGCCGAGACCCAGGCAGAACATGAGGGTGTATCCGAAGTAAAACGTGGTTTGGAAAAACCCGGTCATTTTGGTTTTGATGAAGTAATAGTAGATGGAGTAGAGGTAGACGTAGATGCAGGTGGAAGCTGCTGAGAAGAAGGCGGTCCACTGCCAGTGGTAGTTCTCAGCGTTCAGCAGGAAGTATGTGCCCACTATCGTCACACACACTGTGACTATAACGAGGATGAGGAACACCAGCAGCATGAACCCATACACGTAGTACACCTGTTGGCCGGGGGGGAGGGGACGAAGGATGGGGGAAAGGATGGGAACAAGGAAGGAGGGATGGGAACAAGGAAGGAGGGATGGGAACAAGGAAGGAGGGATGGGAACAAGGAAGGAGGGATGGGAACAAGGAAGGAGGGATGGGAACAAGGAAGGAGGGATGGGAACAAGGAAGGAGGGATGGGAACAAGGAAGGAGGGATGGGAACAAGGAAGGAGAGATGGGAACAAGGAAGGAGGGATGGGAACAAGGAAGGAGGGATGGGAACAAGGAAGGAGGGATGGGAACAAGGAAGGAGGGATGGGAACAAGGAAGGAGGGATGGGAACAAGGAAGGAGAGATGGGAACAAGGAAGGAGAGATGGGAGAAAAATGAGGAGAGGAGAGGGAGGCAGGGTGTGGTATCACCACAGGGGTAAGAAGGCAATTGAGGGTTCCTTCAGGACGGAGGAGGGTGAGCAGTGAGGGAGGGGAGAGGGGAAATGAGGTAATGGAAAGGGATGAGTGCGGCTGGGGGGTGGGGGAGGAGGAGGGGGAGTGTGAAAAGCTTAACTCCTACTAACAACTTCGATTCACGTATTGGTGGCCCTCCTTGAGGTAGCTTATGTTTTGTTTTGAACAACAAATAACCTCATTACTCTGTCTGATGCTCATTGTCTCTGTATCTGCACCAGTCACACCCCTCAGCACAATCAAGCCCATTCCCCACAGTGCCTACGATCACACACACCCAGTCGCCAACGTCACACCCACTAGCAGGCGCACCTTGTAGTTCCAGAAGGAGGTGAAGATGAAGTACATCTCGATGAAAATCGATCCGAACGGTAGAGGTTGCTATGATACCACTCAGCGCAATCACGCCCATTCCCCACAGCCCATGAGTGACACCACCCAAGGCGTCAGGTACCACTTCTTCACAGGGATGGGCCGCGGGATGGTCTTCACCCAGCGGCACGCCTTGCACCCATTCTGCTACTAAGCGCACTCACTCACACCCACTCCCACAGTCACGCCCCTTCCCTTCAGTCACACCCACTCCCTACAGTCACACCCACTCCCCACAGTCCCTGCAGTCACACACAGCCATGCGCCACAGTCACACCAACTGGAGGGGAGGGGGGGGGGGGGGCGTACCTTGTAGTTCCAGAAGGAGGTGAAGATGAAGTACATCTCGATGAAGATGGAGCCGAAGGGCAGCAGCCCGCCCATGAGCGACACCACCCACGGCGTCAGGTACCACTTCTTCACCGGGATGGGCCGCGGGATCGTCTTCACGCGGCATGGGTTGTCGGGCGTGCCGCTCCAGTTGCGCCCCACGATGGTGCCGAGCGTGGCGAGGGGGAAGGAGATGAACGCCCAGATCACCAGCACCACCACCTGATGTGTCGAGGTGCGGGGAGGGAGGGGGACGGGGCCGGGAGGCGGGGAGAGATGAAATGGGAACGGGAGGGAAGGGAGAGGAGAATATTACAAATAACAGTACGCATAAAAATAGCACTGGGTGAACGAACCGGATAGCAGGGGCATACATGAAAACGTTCAAACGGACCAGGGTGGGAAGGGTGTTGGAGGGAGAGGGGGGATGGGGATGGGGGGGTGAGGGCAGGGAGCGAGAGGGGGGAGGAAATAAGAATGATAGCAAGACCACATACTACACATAGTATTAGCAGCATTGACAGGGGAATGGCGATGGGAATGAGAGCTACAGCACTGACCATGGTGCCGAAGGGAATGGCAGCCAGCGAGTGGTAGACGATGGCAACGGTGTTGAGGATAAAGCCGATGCCGAAGCACGTGAAGGGGAAGAGCGACGCCGTCAACAGCATGGCCTTAATCCAGTGCTTCCCTGCAACGGGTTGAGGCGTTGGCACAAACGACAAGGTGGGACGGAAGTCAGCAGGGAAAACGACGAAACCACGAACGGTGTCTGAAACCGTTGATGCTAATTAGTCGCACCTTGTCTAACCTACCTCGTCGTGCCCCTGACAACCCGACACAACCCAGCTCAACCCTCCTGCCATTCAGCCCTGCACGCGACCATCTGCTGGCCAGCCCACACCCTGTTCGTACCCCCAATGAAGTGGCGATCTGGCCACACTCGTGACCCAGATGAAGTGGTAACCTTACTTCTGCTCTACCCTGCCTCGAGCCGTACTCCTGACTACGATTGTATCCGCAACCAGCACTGCCGCCTGTCCTACAGCTGTAATTGAACTGCGGCCATCCACCACAATTACGCCCAGCCGTGGACAGTTGAGAACAAACGCCATTCCCTATACTAGGGCCGAATTTCGGGCTAAACTAACAGAATTCTGGGGTCAAACCCGCCATTGACGTATCCGCCAACGAAGGACGAAAGTGCATAGCAGATAGTGCCGCGGCCGACGTAGAGAATGCCCACGATCGAGATGATGACCACGAGTTCAGAGCTAAGGCAGTACCCGAACTGCAGCCATTCCTTACACTAGCGCCGCGACCTGGGCTAATTCGGTCAGTGCCTGCAATTCTGGAGTAACCCGCCTCTCGAGTCGACTAGATAGTCCTGAGCTGGAGCAATACCTGCGTTTCTGGAGTAGAACCCGCCGCTGACATATCCGCCAACGAAGGACGTGAGCGCGTAGCAGATGATGAAGGCGGTGGCGATGGTGCCTCGGCCCACGTAGAGCATGCCCACAATCGCGATGACGATGACGAAGAACACCAGCAGCGCCAGCTGCGCGCCCGTGCCCACCAGCGCGGACAGCAGCACGAGGTTGCGCGGCGGCCGGAACACATCCCCGTGCACCAGCTTCCACCCTGACTCCTCGCTCACGTCCCTCTCCTGCGAACAGCAGCAGGAAAACGGATGCAGAAACTAATCAGTTGAGACATAAAACGGGTCACAATTCGGTTAAAATTACTCCAATACCATCAAAAACAAGTATCACGAGAATGCCCTGGAGAAACGAGTAACGAGCGCTTGATCTTGCGTGGCGTTATTTGTATACAATTCTGAGCGAGCAGTGAGAATTTCGCGTCGCCATAGCCGCGTGACGACGAGCACGCATAATCCACGTCGCCATGCAACACGACATAAATCAGCGGCTCAATTGTGTCCCCCCTCTGATGTACATAGCATGATCGTCCCCTCAATTGACTCTGAGTACGCATAAGAATTCTGCCTGCTGTCAGATTCGATTTCAGGTTGTACCCAAAAAAACACGCCACGTACCAGCATCTCGAGATCGTCCTCCTCCCTGGCGTACTTGGCGTAGTCGTTGAGCAGCGTGCGCATGAGAGTTCTGCCTTATCCCGGCCATTAAATTGGAATGCGACAAGAGCAACCACGCCACGTACCAGCGTCTCGAGGTCGTCCTCCTCGCGGGCGTACTTGGCGTAGTCGTTGCGCAGCGTGCGCATG